TCAGCTTGGAGAGTTGGGGCATATATACTAAAGAGGACAACGTGTTGCTTGTTGTTTAGTGGAAGGCGTAGGGAGAGAATGCGGTCAGAGTGACCTGTTGGCAGATTTTCGAGTTTGGGAAGAATAGAGTTTTTTATCATGAAGTCAGCTCCTGAGAGATGTTTTTCGGTTCTGGACTTACCTGACTAAAAGAGTGTGTAATCGGCACCATGTTCTCTGAGGTTTCCTTCCTTGTGAAGGCGAACTTCACTGAGAGCAGCAATCTCGATGTTGAGACGAGCCAGTTCATGGGCAATTAGGGCAGAACGTTGCTCAGGATGTCCGCTATCGAGCATGGTTCTGATATTCCCACATGCTAGAGTTAATTTAGGTACACCTTTGGAGGCAGGTGTATGCCTTTGTCTTTTGATCTTTGTGCGACTGCATTGGAAGAAGATGCCTGTTGGTCTGCAGTTAACCAACCGGGTGAAAGTGGAGATGAGTTGTCGCTGGGTATCTGTCGAAGGCCTCAGTCCTGGGGGGGAAGAATGACATACAACACACACAAGGGTAACAAGACAAAGAGATGTCTGCCTGCTCAGCGCAGCAGGCAGTCTTTTATTAGGTCCCAAGTTCCACTTTCCCATACACACACACTATAAACATTTTCCTGCAAAACACCCAGGAATGCAACACCTGCAGTTTGTTATACAACTCGACCTTGCACTGTCCAACTCTCAGGGTTGTCTCCATGGGAATGTGCAGTTATCTCTTACTTCTCTCACGGGAATGGCCTTACTCCCTTTAATGTTTCTAACTCTTCTACTTCCAGGGGACCCGGGGGTTCCATGGACCTGCCATCTCCCCCCACAATTCCCCCTGTCTGTAATTGTGCTACAAAGACTGCCCGCATTGTATCCTGCACGGTCCTTTGCAGGAGCGGTACTAAACACGGCAGCATTATTAACACAACCACAACCATCAACACTACCAAGCATCCCGTTTTGAAAAGTGAGGTTAACCAGCTAGGTATTCCCCATCTGCCAAACCAGTATTCCAGGCCAAAAAACCCAGTGCTTTCTTTGATCTTCTGAGTTGCCGCCTTCAACTCAGCAATGCTTCTATAAATAGACTTAAAATGATCTGACAGATTCATACAACACATCCCTTCAAAGTCTTGACACCCATATCCGTGGACTAGAAGTAAGAAATCCACGGTTGCTTTATTTTGTAATGTTGCATGTCGGACAGAATTCACATCAGTGACCAGTTGGTACAATACCTGTGAAGTTTTATTGACTTGCTTCGCTACCCAGTAAACCATATGATTTAAAGTGCTTAGGGCCTTAACTGCAGCTGGCAAGGGAGAACTACGGAAGCAGTCACTCTCTGTCCATAATTCCAGAGCAGTATGTTATTATTACACCGTTCATTATGGTGTACTGCCCTGCGGCTTCGTTGATGGAGCAACGAGTGATTAAGTAGCAGTCTGTGAGCGGGTGCCAACAACCCCAACCTTCCAAATGTACAAGGTCCCCCTATTGGTTGTGCAGGGATTCCTGGTCATACTCTATCTCCACACAAAAGAAACATTCCTGTAGGGAGTCGACGAGGTGCACTCACTGCTGGAGTACTCCAAGTCCGATTTCTACCTAAATACCGACACCAAAAGGAACTATTTTTATAGAAAGACAATTCAGGGGACACATCCTGTACTATAGATTCACCACGTGTCTACTCTATTTTATAACCCTTACGATAATTAAAATACACACAACCCTCTGCAAATAGTGACCCTAAAATATCTAATTCCTGAAATGGAGCACTAACAGGTAACACATCAGTCCAACTATCAGTATGTTCTAGACATTTGTGTATATTATTACAGTCCTGTTTCAAGAAGCCACGCTGCTGGACAACATCTTGCACCAGGAGAGATGTTTCTGTGTCGTTCAGGGGGATACCAACAAGGCAGATGTGAAACGGTTGCTCCGGATACGCCATCGATGCACAAAAGGTCGTCTGGTTCAGTTCCTTCATTAGTGTCACCCAGACGTTTCGCTTGTTCCATGGAGTGAACTTTGACAGATCAGGAACCACACTGACTACCTCCAGAGCCAACAGCAGGACGCACACACCACGCAGGTACCCAGCGAGGGCCATCATCTGTTGAGACACAAGCATATCCCCTTCCCCAAGTTATCAACTCATGTGGACCAGACCACTGACCAGAGATAAGATCCCGTATCTGCACAGGAGTTTTGCCAGACAGTGGTTGAGTTGACAAAAGAGAGGAGAAATGCCGAAAAGAAGGTGAATAAGGACAGTCGCTAGAGAAGGTCAGAAAGTTTAAGACATACACAGTTTTGTCTAGCCTAGACTGAGGGGGTTGTCCCCTCATTCCCCCTTTCTGTTTTTGAAGCAATTGCTTCAGGGTACCATGCATCCTCTCTACGATAGCCTGTCCTGTAGGAGAATGTGGAATACCTGTCACATGGGTGACCCCCCACGAAGCAAAGAAATCTTTGACAGATTTGCAGACATAAGACGGTCCATTATCTGTCTTTATTTGAACCGGCACTCCAAATGTAGCAAAAACACGACGGAAGTGTTTAATGACGTCATTGCTTTTTTGTCCAGTATGTGCAGTAGCAACCACCACATGAGAAAACGTGTCAATGGACACATGGACATGCTTTAAATTGCCAAATTCATTTACATGAGTGACATCTGACTGCCAAATCTGTAAGGCCTTAAGGCCTCAAGGGTTAGTACCAAAATAGACAGGAGTATAGGCATTATGACAGTCTGGACAGGAAGCAATAATTGAGCGAGCAACAGAGTGAGTCAAACCAAATTGATGTCTCAAGGCTTCTGCACCTTGATGAAAGAACTGATGAGACAAGACAGCTTGCTGGTGAATGTTAGGAACAGGTCCCAAAGCAACAGCAGAAACAAGAGCATCTGCCCGGGCATTACCCTCTGTGAAGAATCCTGGCAAAGAGGTATGACTACGAACATGTAGCACAAAATAAGGAACAGGTCTCTGCAAAAGTGTTCTCCAGAGTTCAAACAAGACCTGAAAAATAAGGTCTGGAGATGGACAATACAACACCACCTGATCGAGTCGTTGTAACAAATTAACAATATATGCAGAATCAGTAATAACATTTAAAGACTGATTAGGAAACAACTGAAAAGCAAGAGTTACAGCTCGAAGTTCCACAACTTGAGGAGAACCCTCTTGACGAACAATTTGATGTCGCCATCCACATTCCATGTTCCAAACTACTGCAACTTTACCTGTTTTCCCCGAGCCATCCGTAAAGACTGTAAGACCATCGAGGGGTTCTGCACTGCGTAGTATTTTTTGTCCAATCGGAATTTCCCTAAAAAACTTAAGAAGGGGGTGTGAAGGTAAATGATAAGAAATTTGACCGTGGAACCCAGCTAAAGCAACTTGCAATTCATATTTGTTTTCCAGACACCACTCAAAGTAATGAGATTGTACAGGTACAACAATGTGAGCCAGGTCTCTGCCAATACACTCTACACACCTTTTTCTTGCCTTAATGATGATTTGAGCTATGAGCTCAAACAATCCAGGAGCAGTTTTCTGAGCCCGATAAGGCAAAAATAGCCACTGTAGGATGTGCAGTGGGTCAGACCAGTGGTCAGACCACTGTACCAATGCTCCAAAAGGAACACTGTGATCTGCAAGAATGAAAATTTGGACAATTTGACAATGATCAATTAATGAAACAAATTTAGATTGTAAAGTCTGCTTTATTTGCTGGATGGTGTGAACTGCTTTTTTAGTCAGTTCCCTTGGTTCTCGAGGATCGTCAGAATGTTTGAGTAGGTCAAATAGAGGTGCCAGCTGGGTGTTTGTTAATCCTAAGTATGACCTAATCCAGTTCAAAGACCCTAACAGCTTTTGTATGTCAGTTAGAGTTTTGACATTAATATCCAATTGGACTGGCTGAGGAATGACTGCTTTTCATGTAATTTTGAACCCTAAATATTTCCAGGGTTCCTTTCGCTGCACCTTCTCAGGAGCAACTATTAGGTCAAAAGATTGTAGACTCTTTCTGGTTTCAGCTTCCAGCACACCCAACTGATCCTCAGTGGCTGCAGCCAGTAAGATGTCATCTACATAATGATAACAACAACAGTCAGGAAATTGCATTCATACAGGAGACAATGCCAAAGCTACAAACCACTGACAAATCGTAGGAGAGTTTTTCATTCCCTGGGGGAGGGTTTTTCATTGAAAATGTTTGTAAGGTTCTGTAAAATTAATAGATGGAACTGAAAATGCAATTTTTTCTCTATCTCTGGGGTTCAACTGGATCGTGAAAAAACAATCTTTCAAATCAATAATAACAATGGACCATCCTGCAGGAAGCATTGAAGGGGTTGGTAAACCGGGCCGTAATGCCCCCATGGTAGCCATAACTGCATTAATTCGTCTGAGATCATGCAACAGTCTCCACTTTCCAGATTTTTTCTTTATGACAAAGACAGGGGTATTCCAAGGACTATGAGATGGCTCAATGTGATCAGCTTCAAGCTGCTCCTCAACAAACTGTTGCAGGGCCAACAACTTTTCTGTAGGTAGGGGTCACTGCTTAACCCACACAGGAGTAGTTGTAAGCCAAGTCAAAGCAATGGTGGGTCGAGTCACACCCTGCAATACAGTGACCCCAGTTAAAAATCCGTAGTGATCTTTACCCCCCACTGAGATAGAACATCTCGTCCCCACAGGGTTAAAGGTGCCACAGTGACATATGACTTGACAGTAGCAGTTTGAACCTCGGGATTAGTAATGAGCACAGCATGTTTGGAAACAAAACTCTGAGCAGTACCTCCCAACCCCACAACCCCGGCCCCTGCCGTGACCAAAGGCCAAGGGGTCGACCAGGATGTCTGTGCAATTATAGTTACGTCAGCTCCCGAATCCAGAAGTCCGGTCGTCTGGACAGATGATGGCACGCTTCGGGCATTGTAGAGAGTGCATGTCAGTTGTGGACGCTGCGCAGAGATTGGCATGGACCAAAGGACTCGTGGTGCGCCAGTAGAACCAAATCCCCCATCTCCACGGTCACGAGGTTCTGTTCGAGGAACACAACTCGGATAAGGTATAAGTTGAGCTATCCGTGTCCCTTTAGGAATTGTCACGGGCAGATAAGGCGTGGAAAACAAAGCAGTGATCTGTCCTGTATAATCAGCATCAATGAGTCCGACCTGAATAAAAAGGTCTGCAATTGTACTACTAGAACGGCCAACTAATAAGGCACTTAACCCATGTCCAGTAGGTCCCCAGGCATCTAAAGGAACCTTAGTCATGTCTGTTGATAGAATGGTTACTGTGTCAGTGGTGGAGACATCCATTCCTGTTGACCCTCTGGTTCTTCCTGTGAGACGTTCACACAAGGGAATGTCATCGGTGTCTCTGGTGGATCCTGACATGACCTGAATCCCTGGGGTACAGTTGGGCGTACTTGTGTCCTCACGCGCCCCTTCGCACTCTGCTTTCCATTTCCCGACAGGGGATGTCCCTTAACATCATACCGAGAAGTACAGTGCTTTGCAATATGTCCCTGTTTACCACAACGATTGCAGGTCCCCTTCAAAGGTTCAACATTCTCCCTGTGAAACTTCTTTTTCACCCAAGGACACTGCGCCTTAAAGTGCCCTTCCTGGTCACAGTTGTGACATCTATTAGGGGAATGTGAGATAGTTGCTAAAGCAGACATCTTATGCTCAACAGATCCCACCTTAGAACAAGCCTCTATCATGTCAGTTAAAGTAGGTTGGTTAGGCAAAGAATCGATAATTTTGCTACAATCAGCATTAGCCTGGTCACGTGCCAGCTGCAAACAAAGCTTCTGCTGCAAGGATTCATCCTCTACCTGTTTTTCTAGTGACCGAGTCAATTTTTCAACAAATTGTAAAAATGGTTCCCCATTAGCTTACTTGATAGCCGTATATCTCGGCTTTGGGGATGAAACTTCCATAGTTTGAAACAAGGTTGTCATGTCTAATTTTTGAGCCTCTTGGAGTACAACAGGGTTCCAAGTAGCCTGAACATCCGGATTAGAATATGGACCAAGTCCCATCAAAGCCTGTGCACCTACACCTCTCAAAAGGTCCCCTTCAACCTTAAGGAGATTTTCTTGCTCTGACTGATTAGCCAACTGAGTCCACTTCTGCATAAACAATTGCAACTGTACCGGTTCAAATAGGACCTGTGTCAGATGTGTAAGATCGTAGGGAGCGAGTAAATCAGCATTTAAAACTCTTAGCAGTCTCATAACCTGAGGGGAATTGATACCATATTTGCCAACATTAAATTGCAAATCCTGTACAACTTTCCATTGATAAGCTATGTGCCGATCAGTTCCCCCTGAATTAGGTACAGCCTTTACAACAGGAAAGGCCAAGACATTATTCTGGGAACTTTCAATCTTTCTGGTGGAACAAGGATATCCTATTTTATCACAAAAATCCCAGTTTCCATTCAGGGCAGCCTGTTGCCTTAAACCTTCCCAAAAAGAGCCAGGGTCTCTAGGTAGCACAATCACTTCAACTGGGGGTAGGACCACACCCTTTGTTGTCTTGTCTGTCCCTTTCCCACTTTTAGGCCCCCTCTGCGCGTTCCGCGTCTTTCGAGAACTCGGTCCCCCTCGAAGCAAAAGTGCTGCTTCATTCAGGGAGTTGTCACCATCCGAGTCAGAGGAAGAAGGGGAAGGAGGGCGGGAGCAATAGGATTCATGAGGGGAAAAATCAATAAGGGGGGGGAAATTGTCATTGCCCTCCTTATGTCGCGACTGTGCTAAATGATCTGTCGGTGAAGGATAATGTACGGGGGAAGGAGGAACAGCCGCAGAGGAATATGTTGCAGGAGGGGGGAGGTTAACAGGAGAGAAGACAGACTGCCCCCCCACTGTGCCACCTGGACGCTTGACTGCTAGCCTGGAACCTCCCAGAGCCAACGCTGCTGTAGACGCGCTGCAAGGGAGAGGAGGATTGTCAGGGGAAACATTCACTGTAAAAGTCAAATTAACGAAAAAAGGACAAGGAAACCCCCCGACCGCCACCGCCGGGGCTGCACCACCCGGGGCCGCGAGCGTACCAAAAGGAGACGTGACCGTCGCTGACGACGCGGCGCCGCTCGAAGCCGGCGCCGCACCTGGCACAATCGCCGGCAGCCCGCTGATCGGGGTCGGGGTCGGCGCCGGAGTCACCGGCACATATGGACTCGTTGTGAATGCATGCACGGTCGCACCATTCGGAGCCGAGACCGCCCACGGCGCCTTTCCGCCGGCGGCGCACCGCGGGGATCTGCGAGCACTGCGACCCCCGGTAGCGTGCCGCTCGGCACCCCGCCCGGCATCGCAGCCACACCGGGCGCCACGTCTGCACACGGAGCTGCGGCCACCGGTGCGCCGCTATGGTCCGCGGGCCCCGCAGCAGACGCCGCAGATGGACCCGCCACGACCGCGCTGGCACCCGGCACCGTCCCGCAATCACCTGACGCGAGCGGACTCGGCACAACCGTGCTGGCATCCGGCGCCACGGCGTAGGGACCCGACGCCGGGGATGTGGTCGTAGGTGCATTGCACAGCCCCGCGGCACTGCTCGGATAAAAAACAGAAGGCTCTTTAAGGTGGAAGTTAGTTAAAGTGTCCGCTAGATCATCCTCCGTGGCTGTCCCGGGACTGTCCTGGCCTTGTAATTTCGCCTGCCAGTCCTTGAGGGTAGAAAGTACTAACTTCCACATAGGAGCCAGTCCGTCTACTTCACGATTACCCTCTGCTATACCATCTAATAGCATTTTGCCAGTGTCCTCCCCGGCAGAGATGCTGAACGCTGTGGGCAACGCAACCTCTCTTCCAGTCCGAAGACACCAAAGTAATAAACGCTGTAACTTAGTTTCTTCGTGCTTAACACCGTAACAAAGTTTTCCAGGCGGAAAACACACGCCTTTCATTCGCACTCATGGTCTGCCCCATGGTGACTTAGGAAAAGTGCTCAGGAACCCACCTGCGCCTTACCAAGTGCCAGATGCACCCAGGCTTCCCAGGCAACTCGTGCCTCTCAAGTGCGGCAGAAACACTTGTCTGCAGGTGCAGAAAACAATCGCGCCCAGGTCCTGCAGTGCACTCTGCTGCTATACAGTTCCTGAGTACCGAGACCCTGTTGCACCTCGCCCGGCAGCTCACCTGCCTCCGGTCGCAATACCCCTACGACCCAGGCAATAGTCGACAGTCTTTTCTTCTGTTCGTCTGGTCCACATGGGGCACCAACTGTCACTGGGTATCTGTCGAAGGCCTCGGTCCTGGGGGGGAAGAATGACATACAACACACACAAGGGTAACGAGACAAAGAGATGTCTGCCTGCTCAGCGCAGCAGGCAGTCTTTTATTAGGTCCCAAGTTCCACTTTCCCATACACACACACTATAAACATTTTCCTGCAAAACACCCAGGAATGCAACACCTGCAGTTTGTTATACAACTCGACCTTGCACTGTCCAACTCTCAGGGTTGTCTCCATGGGAATGTGCAGTTATCTCTTACTTCTCTCACGGGAATGGCCTTACTCCCTTTAATGTTTCTAACTCTTCTACTTCCAGGGGGCCCGGGGGTTCCATGGGCCTGCCATCTCCCCCCACAAGGAGCTTTGTTTAGGCCACCTTTTCTAGGTTCCTCTCCAAGTGGAGCAAGCAGTGCTCTCCTTGAAAAGGCTACTTGGTCTTTCAGGGTGCTGCCCCAAGAGACTCTCATCTCCAGTCAGTATCAAATGACCAATATCCTGAACCGCCTGCATGCAGGGTTGGGTCTGCGGTTTCCAGTGCACCTTTCACCTGCCGTTTCGACCCTCGCCCGTCGCTACAGGACTTTTTGCATGTGGGTAAAGCCTTCAAGCCTGCGCAATGGATTTTTAGGTGAGATGCAGTATGTGCGGAACTGAACCCATCCTTTAATCCTGAGGTTCATCTGCCAGGGCCGAGCGAGCTTGGACGGTGGCAGCGAGGTCCTCAGGACGTAGGTTTAATTAGAGTGACCTTCTCTTAGATGGATGACCTTACTAGGGAGCTCCATCTGCCCGGGTTTGGGATTAGAGTTGTCCTTCTCCTAGGATGACTGCCAGAAGGTTAATGAGCTCATCCTGCCCACACATGTATTGTATCTGACCCTGCTGTTTTGACCTGTCTGGCATGGGCGACCCTACCGAAGGCATGTACCATCGCCAGCATAGCTCGCAACCACATAGGGGCACACAGGTTACGTTCCTGTTAGAACGGTTTCGGCAAGTCTTTTATTTTCTACTTTACTATTACCTATTTATATACAATCATAAGGAGATACCCAGGAAAAACCCTTTGTCCTACCCACCCTTTCAGGACGTAACAGAGCAAAGCAAATATATCCAGAACATGCCGAACCTGGGCTGTAGCCACAGGTGAGCCAAAAACAAACAGACAAACAAACCAACCAACTGTTCTGGCCCCCGTACACATCCAAGGCTGGGGTGCCTTTCAAGGTCCCAGCTTGGCTGGGACCCCCATCACTCTAAAGGAACCCCACTATCCACCCTGACCATGTCCTTCCTCCACTGTGTTACCACGTATCTTCAGGCGCACTGTTCACCTCTGACACTTCATACAGGAGTGCCCCGCTCTCCCTCCCGCCAATCAGAGGACCCCTATGGTCCACTCGATACCCCTCCCCTCTCTTCCTGCACTCCCATTCCCCTGTACTCCCCCTCTCATCCCCTGTACTCTCCCTCCCCCTTCCCCCCCCAAACCTGGAACGGCAAACCTCTGTGTGCTCAGAAGCTGCTCTCTCCTCCTTCACGGGCATGCAGCAACTGCCGGCAAGGCTCCCCCACTCTCTCTTTCCCCTCCCCTCTCCTGTCGTGGTCGCGCCTGGGGCCTGAACCAGGGGACTCCCAGTCAGCCCGGGACCCCACCACTCACCCGCGGCACCGGGGGGGGGGGGGGGCCCCCGGGGGGCCCCCGCCCGCCCCGGGGGGGGGGGGGAACTCCCAGCAACCCGGGACCCCACCACTCACCCGCAATGCCGGGGGGGACTCCTGGGGGACTCCCAGACAACCCAGGAACCCACCACACACACGCAGTCAGCCCGGGACCCCACCACTCACCCGCAGTGCTGGGGGGGACTCCCGGGTAAACCACAACACACATGTACTTTTTACATTGTTTTTTAATTTCTTTACAAAAGTCTTTTATGGCTTCAAAATTGTAACTTGCACCCAATGCAAATATAGGCATAATCACCTAGATGAAAAGTCTTGAAACAGAACTTCTTTATTTAACTAAGAAATGAAAGTAATACTTGACTAAAACAAGCAGTACAGTCTTACATTTTCATTAATAAAATATTGTCATGTTAAACACAATTTGATTGCAAAGAAGATTACAATTAAGATTTTGTAGGAAATGAATAAGACAGTTTTATTACAAGCAGGGGTTTCCATGGTTGCCTCGTGCCGAGATACCTGGAGGTCATTTTATTTGAGGAGTTGGGGAGCCATTTTGTGGCTGAGGACTGGTGGGCTGCTTACTGTTCTGCTTACAATTACCTAGTGCTGCTTACTGTTCTGCTTACAGGGTTGCTTAAAGTTACTGTTACTTACAGTTGCGGTGTGAAGGCGGGTCGGAAAGTATGTAAGGCAGTAAGACCAGTCTGGGCTCACTGCCAAGGGACCATGTGGCCGGGGTCAGGGAAACAACTTGATAGGTTGGTTAAAACAACCAATGGACTGCAAGAAGAAGACTATATCACCTTTTAAGGAAGAAAAGAGCGAGGCTTGGCATGGGAGGAGCAAGGGAGTGGTTATGTAAATCAAAGGGTCTTAAAAGGGCTCTTCCCGCCCATTCAGGGTGAACTCGGACCTGGTCACAAGTCTGGTGCACCCAGCGTACTGTTTAAATAAAGTTCTTTGTTTCACTTTATTTGACCGTCTCTGAAATTTTAATTAGAGATATTTCTCACAATTTCAGTAAAAAGACTGTACCATTTTATATGTTAGAAATTTACCATTCAGTAAGGTTTGCAAGTTAAGAGCCAAATATACTCTACCAATCAAATCTACAGTATAGTATGTGCTTAGCACTAATAATGGAAGTCTTATCTGCAAGTGTGTAGTATACATTAAAATTTATGTAGCCTCTACACAACTTAATTTATTGTAAAGTTTCAGCAGTCCAATTCATTATTGAGTTTGGATGTGTGGGGGTAGTAGGGACCCTGCGGAAGAAATGACGAGGAGGCAAATTGATTTGGAAATTTCTCTTTACTCGATAAACCTGCTGTGGCTAAAGAAACATGTTGAGAGAATATGTGAGAACAACCACCTTTTGTCCTTCCCGTGGAGCTGCTTCTTTGTGAGACTAAACAGGGAACTTTCTTATCTGAGAAGATGCCAAAGAAGCATTCCTTCCCACAAGTGGGGGAAGGGAGATGGAGGGGGAAAAGGTAAATGGTTCAGAAAGCAGCACCTCGAATGCCCAAGGGCCCCTTTGACATGCACGGTTGGGAGGCCCTGGGGTGTGTGTGTGTGTTTTTTGCCACCCAGCTGCTGCAAGTCCATGGAGCTGTAAGCATCCCCGAATAAACTTCCATTCCTGCTTGAAAGTCCGTGGCTCAGCCTTCTGATTTTACCTGCATGAACATTGGAACTGACACATGAATTAGTTGAAGTAAGTTTTGTTGTTTTAATAGAGGATTTGAAATAGATACTGGTATTCAAAATGGTCATATAAAATTCCCACTTATAGGTTAATGAATTATTTTGCCCCAATACTTTTGATTTCAGCATTAAAAAAACCACTTGATAATACAAATACATTAAAGATTTTTGAAATTAGTGGTTTCCTTTAAAAAACATTACTTATGTGTCACTTCTCTGTGCTAAGGCTGTGGCGAGTAGATTAAATGCTAAAAATGGTGAATTTAGATAAAAATTTTAACTAATAGAAATGGCAGTACTTGTCATCCTGCTGCTATAAAATACCCTTCTAAAATGCTATTTCTCCCAAAGTACTATGTTTACATTCACATCACAGAACCCTCAAAGCACTTAAATTCCAAAGGTTTGCAGTCAAAGTGAAAGGAAATGCTACTTGCTTTTATCATCTTCTGTGATTTTTCAGGATTTTTGTCTTTGGTGACAATAAAGTTACTATCTCAAAGTTTCAAAGTCCTGCATGATCCATCTCTCTTTACTACAGCTGCATTTATTGCAATTATCCCAGGAGGAAGTAAACCAGTATTTTAAACCTCTTTTAAAACAATCTCCAGTTTTGCAAATCTGCTTTCTAAATTCCAGTCAAAGGAATTTTTATAAAGTTGTATGTATTTTACAAACACTGTGCTTTCTTGATGAAGAGCCAAAATTTGAAAAAGGAATTGAGTCATGCGAATAACAAAGTGTATAGGCACAGGTGTTTTTTTTAAAAGGTACAAATGTTATGCAGTTCATATAAAAATAAATTAAATCTACAGCATTGATTCAATGTTTACAGTATAACATACAATTTCATACTTTCAGTACAACTATTGATTATTACTTTGACTTCGTCCATAAATTTACTAATGATCATTTACAGAAGTGTTAATTTCAGTGCTATTATAAAGTAATAAAAAGTTTGCAAAATGACTTTTAAAAGTGCATTTTCTGTTCTGATGGTTAAACCTCAAAGTAGGTCAACATTTTAAAAAAATTAATGCATGTTAAAATAGCGTTTGAAAAGTAGAGAGGGCAGAGTGAACTTCTTGCACTCCTTTGATCCACTGACTTTCACATGTTAATCAACAGTCTGCCATATACCATCCTGAAAAAGAAAGGTAGGGTTTTTGCAGTCAGTAGATAAAACAGATTTTTTCAGTATTTTTGTGCTAACAGTTTGACTAACTATGGAAAACAAAAAAGGTAAAACAGTTTTCAGCCACATTTTTTGAGGAAAAGTAATTATTTATGCATCACTTATTTAACAGTTTTATAACTTATAATTTAGCACTATATAATATATCATATTAATTTGTATATATAAGCATGTCAGTATCTTACCAGTGGCAAATCTCTTCTTAAGGAGAGAAAGTCGATAGCCAGTGCTTACTAGTTCTACATCTATTCCTGAAAGGGTACTTCCTTCACTAATGAATTGCACTGCAAGTGTTGCTGGTTTACTGGGTCCTTCTGAAAGTTCAAATTTTGCTCTGAGTGATCCAGAACCTATAAAAACAACAAAACTGAAAGGCTGGTTGTTTTGCAAGACCAAGGCAATCTCCCAAAAATTTTAGTAGTAAGGAGTAGAACTCAAATTGTGGTCTTTAAGACCTATTTCTAGTGGCAGTTCTATATAGATTTTCAGAGGACATGAGAGTACTTTTTCCAATACTCTGTTTAAGACAGTGACTAGTGAATAAATTAGAGGGAAGCAATACACATTTCTACAAGATTATACTTATAGAAGAATGTGTATATCCGACAGTCTGGTAGTCTCTTATTACATTAAATACCTGATTGTTCCCTATAACCATCAGTTATGCTTCCTGGTTTATCTTGTATGTAGTACTTTCCATTAGCAGATTTTAAAGTACATCAGAATATTTAAATGCTGTCACAATCTGCCTGGATGAATGCACATGAACAAAACCATTGGAAGAAATGCAGTTTAACAGTAATGTACCAAGAGGAAAGCAATTCTTATTTTTCAAATAAATACAAGGTCTGATTAAATACATTTCCCAAAAAACAGTTACTTTTTCATAGACAATGGTGAAGTTTACTTCAGTGCCATTATAAAGTAGTAATAGTTCAAAATTACTTTAAGTACACCTTTGTAGTCAATGCAAGACAAAACCCCCCAACATTATTGTTGGTCTCCTTTTCTAGATTACACTGTCAGTATGGAAATTCATATATTCAAGTGCTTCAAAAAAACATTGCATCTGCCAAGGCTGCAAGGGCTGTGACATCAACTGGACCTCAGGGAAAGGCAACTGGGCAGAGAACAACTATTGGTACCTTACAAAAAACTATATAAATTACAACTCTGAGCAGATGTACATAGATTTTTTTTTCCTGGAGTTGTATATGGTCAAAATAAAAAACCCTAAAAATGTTGGTCGAGAATCATCTATAGTTGAGTCTATCTCAGCACAGGACTCTTAGATTTTGGGTTTTTTTTGTTTTTTTCCCCAGTTCTTCCCCTTACCTCTTTCTACTTTATCTCAATTGCCAGTGTATGGAAAATCAGAAAATAGATATTAAATGTATTTCCCTTTCAAGAACTGCTCATTTTCTTGCCCAGTCTAAACTCTGTTTTAGTGGCACTAGCTACTTTCAAGGGCCTTCACTATTTTGCTTTTTATAATTAACCAATATTTTTATATCTCACTGTTAATGGAATGTCTCAGGAGGAATTTGATAAGAAAGTGAACTGATAAACAGGATATGGCAAGTGTAAACAGGCATGAGGACATAGAGGCTAAAATGATTACCTTTTTACTGTTATCATTTTTCTGTACAAGAAAACAAAACAAAAGACTTTAACTTGCCTCCATTTTCAGACTTCTCTGAAATGCTAGATATTTTCCAATAAGCTTTCACCTGATCTGCATTCCTGTAAGAGAATGGAAGGTTAGTTATAAGCACCAACTTTTAGAATTTTTTTCAGAATATTATTTTCCAAGATTTACACTGGTACCTTACAGACCATGCACCTATAACCTACATCTCTCAGTGGAGGTTTATAAAAATATTTCATCATTTTAAGGTGAGCTTGTGGAAAACAATACAAAACAAAAAGGAAAAAAGGAGAGTGTACCTGCATTGCCCCTGAGCTTGCAGCAGACCTCAGACATACATACCACACTTTCATACAGTTAACACTGTTCTATGCCCAGGTTATGGTTGTACTTCACAACTCAAAACCCTCTGTGGTCTCAAAAGGTAAGGACAGGTGTCATAGATTCTAAAAATCCAAGGGGAAATTTTCCTTCCCCTGCCCCACTGTAAGAAGAGAGAGTTTGAACGGGGAGGGGGAAGGGGGCAATTAACTTTACAAAAGACCTAACTGGCAGAACTGCATTCCCGACTGATGGCCCATCTGAGACGGGAGTGAGGGGGAAGGAGTTTTGCTCTGTTGCGGCCCTCCTCACAAAGGGGATAACAGTTTGGGTTTCTCTACGATGGAGACAGGGGAGTCTGTGTGCTTTTGAAAAGCTTTGAGACTGTTTTTCTTGCTCTCGACCTGGTCATTTCTGACCACTCTCCTCAGCTTGCTTTCATGCTTCCCCTGTCTCCAGCCCAAACCTGCTGCGATTTCATCGGAGAGTTTTGTGCTCATTGGGAGAAAAGGAGGAGCTTTGAAACACCATCAGTCGAGGACAACAGTGAGTTCCATGGAGGTGGACTGTCTTTCTTTTCCCCTTCTTCCATTGGGGGAGGGTCCCCATTTTTTAAGCTTCTCCTGTTATCCAAGACCCCCCGCATGGTGACTACCAGAGCCCAATAGCACCCCCTGCAGGCCACCACAGAGTACTGCAGGCTCTGCACCTCTAGTGATTCAACAGCGCCCCCAGCCAATCATGATTAGAACCGCGCTAGAGGACAGAGAAGTATTCAGTCTGTGTCTTTTTTTTGAAGGGGACTTTTGGGTACAGGACTATTGTCTAGTTGTTTTTGTGTGCTGTTACTGTCTTTGCCAACATACATATATATTTTAATAAAGGTTTGTTATTTCTTCCTTTTTCCATACTTCCTCAATTGGACCCCCTTAATTTTGGATTTACAATTGCTGAGAGAACTGAGTTTGGTCTATCTCATAACTCATCCTCCTTAGCAAACGTTCCAGTCTCTTCAAATGGAGACAACAGGCCAAACATGCTGGAAGCAGTTTGAAAGCTAGGTCTTTATACTTCATGATGATGGTATGAGGGGGAGCAATATTGTTTGCTATCCCCTATGTGAGACTCCTGACTGTGTGAATTTTATTCCATTTCCATTCTAGTAAAACCAGTTGGCAGAAGTGACTCAGGGTTGAAGTTAACTTCTGATGCTGTGAAGGGCCAGAAAAGCAAAGGGCACCAAGGACCATAGTCTCTAAGTTGAAAGGGCATTTTAACTCTGAGCACTTCGCAGTTGTTCCATCAAAGTGTCTTGTTTGAAATTGCCCCCCCGGGAGCTGCGGGGCCTAGAGGTGATTGGGTCCCAGGGCAGTCTCCCCTGAAGGACCAATCACCACTCGTTTTGTTCTCTCCTGTGAAAAATCAGATATACACTACCACTGGAAGTTGTTGGCAGAGAGAGTCTGTCTGCTGGTGTGTAGGAGTGGTGTGTGTAAGTGAGGATCGGAGATACGAGGGGTGGCTGGGGGTTCCTCGAACCAAGGGGGCCCCCGGGCCTCCTCAACTTTAGTTCGACTAGGGTTGGGGCAGTTTCCTCACCAGTTCTCCCCTTCCACTGTAAAGGCAGCTGGAGTGGACTCGGAGGCCAGTCAGGGGAGTTGCAAATATTTACTCCCCTAGCAGGCATGTTCGGTACTGGAGTTGAGTCAAGGGACGGGCAAGCATGCTCGGAGCTTGGAGAAGCAACTGCGACTCTTTGCAGAACTGGAAGAATTCCAAGTGAAATTGGAGATGGACCAAAGGGTTCGGGAGTTGCCCCTACTCCTGCAGTGATTTAAACGGGGGGTAGCCGAAAAACTGATTGAGGAAAAATGGATTCCCGAAACACGTGCACGTGATGAACTGAGCTGAACTACAGCAACTACGGAACAGAGAGAGAGAGCGAATCACACACCAAGAAAGCACGGACTCAAACTATTTTCTTGGACTTTGTAAGGAAGAAAGGACTCCAGTAAACAGCTGGAGGTTAGTGGGGGGAGTGAATCAGAGGAAACCTTTTATCCCTGAACACTTCCATGAGAGAAAGACTGCTTCCCTATCAGCCTAAGGACTCTTCCTGGACTGAATTAAGGGAGAGGTTTAGAAGGATGATAGAGGTGTGCAATATTGTATATATATAGTTGCTTTTAATGTGTACAATATTTATTTGTGCAGAATAAATGTGTCCGGCAACCCCCGCGCCACGTGCGGCAGAGGGTCCAGGGACCCAGGCCCCCAGACGCGGCCACAGTTGACCCCCGTTCTAACCTCGGCGGGTGAAAGGAGAGAAATAGGGGGAACCTTGCCGGCGGGTACTGCGCTCCCGTGGAAGAGGAGAGGGGAGCTTCAGAGCACACAGAGGTTTGCCATTCCAGGTTTGGGGGAGGGGAAGTGTGTCGAGCGGGCTGTGGGGGTCCTCAGACTGGTGGAAGGGCGAATGGGGCAATACTGTATTGAAATGTCGCAGGTGAGCAGTGCACCTGTAGATATGTGGTAACACAGTGGGGTAAGGATAAGGTCAGGGTGGATAATGGGTTCTTTTAGAATGTTGGGGGTCCCGGTCGGGCTGGGGTCTTGAAAGGTACCCCAGTCTTGGATGGGTACAGGGGTCAGAACGGTTGGTTTGTTTGTTTGTTTTTGGCTCACCTGCGGATACTGCCCAGGTTCGGCATGTTCTGGATATATTTGCTTTACTCTGTTACATCCTGCCAGGGTGGTCAGGACAAAGGGTTGTTCCTGGGTATTTCCTGGAGATTGTACATAGATAGGTGATAGCAAAGTAGGAAATGAAAGACTTGCCCAAATCGTTCTAATAGGAATGAAGTCTGTGTACCCCTATGTGGTTGCGAGTTACGCTGGCGATGGTACATGCCTTCGGTAGGGTCACCCATGCCAGACAGGTCAAAACCATAGGGTCAGATACAATATATGTGTGGGCAGGATGAGCTCGTTAGCCTTCTGGCAGTCATCCTAGGAGAAGGACAACTCTAATCCCAAACCCGGGCAGATGGAGCTCGCTTAGCCCTGTAAGACCATCCATCTAAGAGAAGGTCACTCTAATTAAACCTACGTCCTGAGGACCTCGCTGCCACCGTCCAAACTTGCTCGACCCTGACAGATGAACCTCAGGATTAAAGGGTGGGTTCAGTCCCGCGCATACTGCATCTCACCTAAAAAATCCATTGCGCAGGCTTGAAGGTTTTACCCACATGCAAAAAGCCCTGTAGTGATGGGCGAGGGTCGAAACGGCAGGTGAAAGGTGCACTGGAAGCCGCAGACCCAACCCTGCATGCAGGGGGTTCAGGATATTGGTCATTTAAGACTGACCGTAGATGACAGTCTCTTGGGGCAGCATCCTGAAAGACCAAGCAGTCTTTTCAAGGACAGCACTGCTTGCTCCACTCAGAGAGGGGCCTAGAAAAGGTGACCTAAACAAAGTTCATCTCCACTTTCACCCGGTTGGTTGACCTCAGGCCAACAGGCATCTTCTTCCAATGCGGTCGCACAAAGATCAAAAGACAAAGGCATACACCTGCCTCCAAAGGTGTACCTAAATTAACTCTAGCATGTTGGAATATCAGAACCATGTTCGATTCTGCAGATAGCGGACGTCCTGAGCGACGTTCTGCCCTAATTGCCCATGAACTGGCTCATCTCAACATCGACATTGCTGCTCTCAGTGAAGTTCGCCTTCATGAGGAAGGCAACCTCAGAGAACATGGTGCCAGTTACACACTCTTTTGGTCAGGTAAACCCAGAATTGAAAAACATCTCTCAGGACCTGGATTCATGATAAAAATCTCTATTCTTCCTAAACTCGAAAATCTACCAACAGGTCACTCTGACCGCATTATCTCCCTATGCCTTCCACTAAACAACAAGCAACACGTTGTCCTCTTTAGTATATATGCCCCAACTCTCCAAGTTGACCTTGATGAAAAAGATAAATTTTACACTGACCTGCACCGTCTTACCCAAAAGGTCCCTGCAGATGATAAGATCATTATCCTTGGTGATTTCAATGCCAGAGTAGGAAAGAATTTTGAAGCCTGGAAAGGAATATTAGGCAAGCATGGTGTTGGTCAACTTCTGCTAGAATTCTGTGCAGAGCAACAGCTCACCATCACTTTCAGCAGAAAAATAGTCTGAAGACAACCTGGATGCACCCCAGATCCAAGCATTGGCACCTCATTGATTATGTCTTGGTGCGACGGAGAGATGTCTGTGATGTCCACCATACCCGCGTGATGCCCAATGCAGAATGCCAAACAGACCATCGACTGCTGCGCTGTAAACTTAACCTCAGTCTTAAATTCAAACCTAAAAGGGGCAGTATCCCAAGGAGGAGACTCCAAGTTAACAATCTCCAATCAGCCACAGTAAGAAACAAATTCCAGGTTAATCTTCAAACTAGGCTCGAAAATCATTCGGTAGATTCTACAGATACCTCCCCTAAAACACTTTGGCTCCATATCAAAAACAGCATCCTGCAGTCCTCTGAAGGAGGGTTCTCCCTCAAGAAGAACAAAGACTGGTTCAATGAAAACAATCAAGAGATCAAGGAATTGTTAAGGAAGAAGAGAACGACCCACCAAGCACACCTTGCACTGCCATCCTGTCATGCAAAAAAAACAGCCTTTCGTCTTGCATGCAACAAACTCCAACAGAAACTCCGTGACATCCAGAACAAGTGGTGGATTGATCTAGCTAAAAAAATTCAATTATGTACAGATACGGGTGATCACAGAGGATTCTATGGGGCCCTGAAAACAGCATACAGGCCTACATAGCAAGTCCAAAGCCCTCTACTCAATGTTGATGGCCAAATGCTTCTAACAGATAAAACCTCCATTCTGAATCGATGGTCTGAACACTTTCAGACTCTTTTCAGTACCAACCGTGTAGTCCAAGACTCAGCAATTCAGTCCATCACACAACAACCGGTGAAATACGAACTGGATACTGCCCCCACTTTAGGAGAAACCCTCAAGGCCATACAGCAGGTGAAAATTGGCATGGCAGCTGGGGTTGATGGAATTCCACCCAAAGTCTGGAATCATGGGGTCCATGCAGTCCATGCTAAATTTCATGAGTTTGTGGTGCCCTGTTGGGAACTAGACGAACTACCATCAGACCTTCGTGATGCAGTCATCATCACTTTGTATAAGAAGAAAGGTATTAAATCAGACTGTTTAAATTACCGTGGTATTTCTCTGCTCTCCATTGCAGGCAAAATCCTGGCAAGAATACTCTTGAACAGACTAATACCCACTATAGCAGAAGGAATTCTACCTGAAAGTCAGTGTGGTTTCAGAGCCAACAGGAGTACCACAGACATGGTGTTTGTTTTCAGACAACTGCAAGAGAAGTGTAGGGAACAGAACAAAGGTCTCTATGCAACCTTTGTCGACCTCACCAAGGCTTTCGATACTGTGAGCAGAAGAGGTCTATGGTAGATTTTGAAACGTTTAGGTTGTCCCCCCAAGTTCCTTAAAATGATCATCTCACTCCATGAGGATCAACATGGTCAAGTCAGATATGGCAATGCACTTTCTGAGCCCTTTCTAATAACTAATGGTGTGAAACAAGGTTGCGTTCTCACACCAACCCTATTCACAGTCTTTTTCAGCATGATGCTCTAAAGGGTCTCGGCAGACCTCGAGGATCAGGACGGTATCTACATTCGATACCATACTGATGGAAACCTATTCAACCTAAGGCGACTGAAGGCCCATACTAAGACCTTAAACCATCTTGTCCGGGAGTTGATTTATGCTGATGACGCCGCCCTTGTTGCCCACACAGAAACAGCTCTGCAGCGTTTAACACCCTGTTTTGCAGACGCTGCTGAGCTTTTTGGGTTGGAAGTCAACTTAAAGAAGACAGAAGTTCTCCATCAACCAGGACCTCAGGAAGTCTTCCTTCATCCCCATATCACCATTGGCGAATCAGAGCTCAGATCAGTTCAGCAGTTTAATTACCTAGGTAACCTCATCTCCTCGGATGGTAAGATTGACGGGGAGATAGACAACAGGTTAGCAAAGGCATATAGTGCTTTCGGAAAGCTTCATAAAAGAGTTTGGTGAAATAAACACCTGAAGAAAAGTACAAAGATCAGTGTTTACAGAGCCATTGTGTTGTCTACTCTCTTATAAGGATCTGAATCATGGGTCATCTACCGCCACCACCTGCGACTCCTAGAACGCTTCCATCAATGCTGTCTCCGCACAATCCTAAACAACCACTGGTCAGATTATGTGACCAATACATCTGTTCTAGAACAAGGAGCAGTCACAAGTATTGAGGTCATGTTACTGAGAACACAGCTTCGTTGGGCAGGGCATGTCTCCCGGACGAAGGACCACTGCCTCCCTAAGATCCTGCTTTATGGTGAACTTGTCACTGGTTGCCGCAAGAGAGGACTCCCGAAGAGAAGACACAAGAACTCCTTGAAACAACATCTCAACCTTGGCCATATTGATCATCATAACTGGTCTACTCTGGCCTCCAATCGCGATGTCTGGAGACACACCATCTATAACGCTGTTGATGCTTTTGAGAAAGCACACAGGATCACCCTCGAGGAGAAAAGACAACGCAGAAAGAATCGTGCCTTGCAGAATATACCATCTAAGGAGTCTTTCTGTTGTGCCTTTTGCAACCGGACATGCCTATGTCGTCTTGGCCTTTTCCGCCACCAACGCGCTTGCAACAAACATGGGTAGAGCCCTTCCCAAATCTTCATTCGCGAAACCTATCCATGATAGAATAAATGTATATATCTTCCCTTTCCCCCTACAGAGGTGTGTTTGCCTGAAAGTTTCTCTTCGGTGTTGATGTAAAATTGTGGGAAAGGGTGGGGGAAGCCTGGAAATTGGATTTTGTATTTTTGTGGTGGTTCAAACCACAACATCAAGTCAACAACCTAAAGCTATGAGCAACATGAAGTGCTGATAGGTTTGAAACTGTCTGGCATTGGTGTAGCAGGAATGAAATGCTCACACAAGTAGCATAGATGGTAGTGGTTACTTGCAGGAGATTGAATCAGAAAACATTTATTCTTAAAAAAACCCAACCCACTAGACCAAACATATAGCAGGAGACACATACTAGAGCTGCCTGGGACATGACTGTATTTTTTTGTCAGGTTTCAAGGCTCAAAATTCTAGCCTTGTGTAATTGCCTAGGTAAAAGAAAGAATACATGAAGCTCAAGTCCCTTACTCTGATGAATCTGAAATGAAACTGTCAGTAAGTTTTGAGTCTTTCTAACTAACACTAAGTGTTCTGGGTGGGCATTCCTGCCCTCACTCAGGTTTCATTACTGAGGGGTTTGTGGAAGAAGCCTGAGCAGGGAGGGGAGAGATTGACTTCATCAAAAATTCTAGTCAAGTTGCGGAGGCAAGATAATGAACCTGCCCTTGCTCAGAATAAGTTTAAGGAGATTTGGTTAAAAGTATTGTTCCCTTGAAATACCAAGTTAAGAAAGATTCAGTCTTGGAAGGATTTTTTCCACTTAAAATAATACTGTATTACCACTTTGTCCTATTAACACATTTAAATGTACTGTCTCCAGAAACATTAGAACCTTTCTGATAAATACACCAGGCTTATTTTATTTCTGAACCTCGCTTTATAAGGTAAACTGATCTATAAGTAATAAGGTTAACAAAGCCCGACTTCCCACAACTTAGTATTCTTTTCCCCTCTTAACCTTCATGCTAAGAAGACCTTCTTCTTCCTCTTGAAAATAAACAGTCCAGGAATTACATTACAGCTTGGCAAGTACCTACATGCTGCCAAACCACAGGCACGGTGATTGAATTCTGTTCACCTTTTGCTCCAAGGATATTGCACTCTGCCTAACCCTGCTACCCCATGCTTGTTTTCACAAACTTGTAGAAACATAATTATCTGAGGCACATCTTACTTTCAAGTGCTGCTGTAAATGGTCTGCAGGCTTAGAAGGTGGGGTCAGATAGCTGCGGGTCAGATAACAATCAGCATGACACTTGAATTGAGAGACAGTGCTACCTGGTTTATGAAGAGGTCCTCAACTACTGAAGTTTGTTTTAAAACTATTTCAATTATAAGTTAATTTTTGGCAAAAAGAAAGCAAACATTGGAAATTTCAGAAATGCTTATATTCAGAAAGGTTTGTATTATTATACAGTTGGAATGGGTGCATATAATCTTATTTTAGTCAATGTGAATTGGCTGTATATGATCTGCTTTGGACCAGAAAATGTCCTAAACATCTGGTACCACGCATTTTATCAAGAGGAAAAAATTTCTCTGTTTCTTCCAGTGACATTTTTCAGGTTGACACTAATGAATACTCTGAAATGAATTTGAAATAATAAAAAGAAAAATATTACTATTACCATTTTGCGGGTGGAAGTGATTGCATGTTTGTTACTCCTCCATCTACTGGTACAACAACCTGCACATTAGACAGCATACTAGGCACATTCATAGACTCTGGATTATACTTATAATCCACTCTCACATCAGTAGTGCTAGCACTACATTTCCAGTAAGTTGCAAGATTCAAGGGAGTGGACTGGATGCCATTTGAAGAGACCTGTAAAAGAAGAAACCATTGAAAGCATCTGTCATAGGTTTACTTGTTCTAAAAATCCAAGCAGAAATTTTCCTTTCCCCTGTCCCACTGTAAAAGAAGGTGTTGAATGAGGGAGGGGGAAGGGGTAATTGTCTATACAAAAGAACTAGCTGGCAGACCTGCATTCAAGGTTGATAGCTTTCTCTAAGGCTGGGGGGGGGGAAGGAGTTTTTCTCCCCTCCTCTCTTTGGAAAGAGGCACTTCACTTTCTGCCTTAAGGGAGGCAAGGTGTGTGTGTGTTGGAAAATCTTTGAGGTCGTTTTGCTCTCGATCTGATCATCTGGCTGCTCTCCAGCCTCAGTTTGCCTGAGTGATGCTCTGTCTCCAGCCCGAATCTGCTCAGATTTCATCAGAGAGTTTGTGCTCATTGACGAGCAAGGGGGAGTCCTGGTCACAGCCAGTCGCAGACAGCGTGAGTTTAGTGGGAAAGAAACCACCCTTCTTTCCCCTTTTCCCCTTTCCCTCCTCGGTGAGGGGGAGATCTCCATTTTGGTTTCTTCCGCGAGCTGAAGTCCCCATGCGGCGACCGCCAGAGTTCAACAGTGCCCCCTGCCAGCCACCACAGAGCAACTGGAGGCTCTGCACCTCCAGTGATCCAACAGCGTCCCCTGCCAACTGTGATTAGAATTGTACTAGAGGACAGAGAAGTATCAAACTGTTTCCTTTTTGAAGGGGACTTTTGGGTACAGGATTATTGTTTAGTTGTTTTTGTGTTCTTTTGCTGTTTTTGCCAATATACATATATCCTTTAACAAAGGGTTGTTATTTCTTCTTTTTTTCCATACTTCCTCTATTGGAGCCTCTTAATTTTGGATTTACAATTGCTGAGAGAGAGGAGTTTGGTCTACCTCATAACTCATCCTCCTTAGCAAAACACTTCAGTCTCCTTAAACTGTGACAGCATCTTAATAAAAATATTTCTATTTTGGGCAGAATTAGGGAAAGATGGTAATGAGTATAACTCTAAATACTGACAAATGACCAACAGAACAATTGACCTCTGAGCCCTTAATCTCAGAATTCTGAAGACTGTTGTAGCCTAAAGTGATTCCTGGTTTGTTTGAGTTTTTTAATTAAATAATTAAAAAAGGATTTGAAGTCTCTCTGGGCCATGGGGTTCCTTCCTGTTCTGGTTTTCATAAGTCAAAACAGTTTTGTTTTAGTCTTCAACTAGACCTTATGACACTGACCATCACCCTCTGGGCCTGGCTGTTCAGCCAGTTTTCAATCCCCCTTGCTGTCTGATAATCTAGCCTGTACTTCATCAGCTTCCCTATGAGGATGAGTGACAAAAGCCCTCCTGAAGTCTAGGTAGACAATATCCACTGCTCTCTCCTGATCTACCAGGCCAGTCATTTCATCATAGAAGTTTATGATATTGGTCAAGCATGACTTTCCCTTGATGAATCCATGCTGACTACTCCTGATGACCTTCTTGACCTTCATGTGCCTGTAAATGGTTTCCAGGATTTGTTCCTTTATATTGTGAGAGGTGAAAACATTATGCATTCTCATATATTACAGTTGATACGTTACAGTATCAAAAAATATGCAATTACAAAATCAAAATAGACATAATTACAAACTCAAACAAACCCCCACCAAACCCCCTAAATTCAAGAAAAACTTAACTTTGTTAACAAACAGTTAAAGTGTTTGAAGCTTGCACACATGAATTGGACTGAAGTGTGAGCAAGCTGAAACAGGTCATGAATGAACATGAAGGCATAACATGAATTCACTCAGTCTTGGCAGTGACATACCCAGAACTGGCTTAGATGAGGGATGACAGTTCATCTGCATGCAAACAGGCAAATAACAATTCTTATAATTTCTGTATAGATATGAAATCTGCCAGAGTTCCTTAAAAAATTCCAAAGGGAAAAAAGTGTTTACCTGATACTTTAAAACGTCCACATTATAATAGGATGCAGATGGATTGTGCTCAGATAATTTCTTGAGGTAGACAGTTATGGCTTGCATGTTCATCCAAAAATCCTTACTACTAGAGTCACTTTGTGACTGATCACTACAAAGAAAAAGAAAGGTAGGAATCAAAAAACAACACTGAGTTTTATTATTTTGTATGTCTAAAAATTAAGACTAGATTTTCCCCTTCTTCACTATTCCAAGTAAGAATTTGTTCTAATGCTTTATAACACATAATTGTACCTTCCTAAATATTAAGAAAAATTGTTTGTTGTAGCTGGTAAAAATTCTCCTTCCAGGTTGTCAAGCAGTGAGTTTCCTCCACTGATGATCTGCATCCCAAGATGGAGCGAATGCCAAATTTGGATTTTACATTTAATAAAACACAATACAATCAGGTGCCATGAGAATGTGTAGGAGGTGGGAATGAAAGTGATACTTGAAGAGGAATGTTATACAATTCGGAATAAATCCTAGAATCATAATTAGCTTTTGTTATGGCACAACTTTGCTAATGCATTGAATTAAGATTTGTGCTGTATGTGTTACCCCACTTTGACATATTTATAAAGAGTGCAAGTTTTCAAAATTTTTTCAGTTAAAAGTGATTTTCAAATTATAATTAAAAACTGTTTCTCAGATACTTATAGTTGCATTTAATCTTAGTAACAATTTATTATATAATTTCTATATGTAGGTAAGAGTGCACGACTACAGAAGCAAAATCCTGGTTGGGAGCTACTGGAGCATGAAAAGGTGTTTTGCAGCTCAAAAATATTTTCAGTCCTAGTGGCATCAGGTTTATTTTTTAATAAGGATGAAACTTTTAAGAAAACTGATTCAGAAGCAAAATTCAAATAACTTCAGAATCAAAGAGCTCCACAGGTCATCTGTGGGTACATAGAGGAACTGCATCAATCCCTAAGGAGACATGCAGAATGTGCATGCAGAATGAAAGCTGAAAAGAAGCATCTGGAACACAGTAAATATAACTGCAATAGGTTGAATGTGCTAGAACAGTGATTTACATACCAGTAGTCTGTCCAATTTACTTAGAATTTGGTTGTTAATACAGTGTTGTCATTCATGCAATTTCCATTTTCAGTAAAATATATAAACACATAACAGAGGGCTTCCAAAATATAAACAAATGAAACCAGCAACAAAATCCTTCTGCTTTCTCCTTCAGAAATTCTGACATCTCCACAAATATTAGTCACATTAAAAGGTTCCATCTCTATAAATACTAAGCGAATGATAATCATTGTAGTGTATGGTGAAAAGTCAAATTATTACCATATGGATTTAACTTCATAAATATCCAATACATGCATCCTTTCTAATTAGAGGTGAAACGTTACAGTACTCAGACAAGAATGCTAAACATTGACTTTTTTCCAAAATATAATTTTTCAATATAATTCACTGCTAGATACAACTCTTCTATAATTTCAGTTATAAACTAAAAAAAGAATGACAAATAAAATTAAATACTAAAGAATGGATGTCTGTGGTTTGATTGTTTCAAAAATTTTTTCCAATACATGAAAATAGAAACTGCCCAGCTGAAACAGGTGTCTGTTTTTTTTTTTTTTTTTTTTGGAAAAGATGTACAAATGCTGTGATTTCAACAATTATTCTACTCAACCAGCAGCTTTTCTTCTTAAGAATTCTCCTAAGCATGCTGCTATACACTTGAGAGATAAAGTTATGTAATGGATTTTATATACCATAGAAATTATACAGTTTAAAACATACACTAATAACTGACAAATGAAACCATTGTTATTACTGTATAAAGAAATCCATATGACAATGTTTCCTATTTTTGACAATTTTTCTCTGTAGTTATATTAGTTATATTGTTCATATAGTTTGATTAGAAATCTTTTTTGTTTTGTTCTTGTTTTCAAATAGTTTATTAAACCATTTTATTTATAAAATGTTTCTAAAAAACACAGTTACATTTGCAAACTATTTTTTATGGTTACTGTTATATTCAGCATAAGTTTCAAGTCCAGTAACACTGAAATTTTTAGTGGCAACAGTGAAAAGAAACTGAACTAAACAAGATTAATTCAGGAAATTGTTATGTATAAGCAAATCAACAAGACTGTAGACAATTCTGATTTACATATACAACAATTCACATTTTAAAAATCATATAGTTTGTTATTATATTAAAGAAAAATACAAAACCTGTATACAAGTTGTGCATTTGGAAGAATCTGGACTAGTTTGCTTGTGTTTTTTACCCTGAAGCAGAGCGCAGCTGGAGATGGGTTACTGGTGAAGACTTTAATAATCCCACTTGGGAACGATAATGTCATATCACCAGTAATCTTCACAATACATCTAGAAGAGAAAAAAACATCAGTTTTATTGCACCTCATTAACTGTCTAGTTTTAATACTAATTTTAAATCAAACATACTTTTACAATCTGATGAGCTGATTTCAAAACAGAAAATTGGCAGACTCGGCAATGTGCACATGCAGCCCAGAAAGTCAACTGTGTCTGGGACTGCATCAAGAGGTGTGACCAGCAGGTCAAGAGAGGGGATTCTGCCCCTCTACTCCACTCTTGTGAGATCCCACCTGAGTACTGCATCCAGCTCTGGGGTCCCCAATACAAGAAAGATGTAGACTTGTTGGAGTGAGTCCAGAGGAAGCCATGAAGATGCTCTGAGGGCTGGAGCACCGCTGCTATGGAGATAGGCTGGAAGAGTTGGGGTTGTTCAGACTGGAGAAAAGGTGGCTCCAGAGATACCTTCCAGTACCTAAAGGGGACTGGTCATAAGCTTAAGTAGAGTAGGTTTAGATTAGATATTAGGAAGAAATTCTTTACTGTGAGGGTGGTGAAGTACTGGAACTGGTTGTCCAGAGATGTGGACTCCCCATCCCTGGAGATGTTCAAGACCAGGCTGTATGGGGCTCTGAGTAACTTGGTCTAGTGGAAGGTGTTGGAACTAGATGATCGGTTTTTTCAAATATATATAATGACAAAAGACAATGTAGAAATAACATTGTCCCATTACAGGATGAGGATGGTCACCTCACAAACAGGGATGGTGACAAGGCAGAGGTGTTTAATGCTTTCTTTGCCTCTTTCGTCAACACAGATGAGGGACCAAGGGGGTCTCAGTGCCCTGAGCTGGAGGACCACGACTGTGAGAATGATCAACTCCCAGTCAACCCTGAACTTGTGAGGGATCTGTTGCTCCAGTTGGATCCCTATAAATCAATCCATGATGGGATTCATCTGAGAATTCTCAAAGAACTGGTTGATGTCATCACAGAGCCTCTCTCAATGATTTTTGAGTGGTCTTGGGAATCTGGAGAGGTCCAGCCTGAATGGAAGCTGATGAACCTTGCCCCAATTTTCAAGAATGGTAAGAAGGAGGACCCCAGAAACTACAGGTCTGTCAGTCTGTGGTAGTTTGGTCTAGGCCTTCCTTGGTGACCAGTTTGTAACCAAGGAAGGGTCCAGATTTACCCAGTATTCCCTACTATTTTTATGTAAACCAGACTATAAGAAAGGAGGGAAGACCTTCGCTGTCTTTCCTTCCGGCGGTTTGGAGGTGAAGGTTCCCTGCTGTTGAGTCTGTCGTGTTGGGGAGTGAGGTCTGGTAAGGTCATGTCAACCTTGGGAGACAGAGGTTGCCGGCGATCGTTCCAGCATGACTCTCCGTTGTCCCAAGGAGAGTAGTAAGATAGTTTTTTGTCAATTCTTTTAGTTGCTAGATATTGGGCTACAATTCAGGATATATATATATATATTTTATTTTGGTTTTGTTCCTTTTCCCTTCCCCCTTCCCTTTCCCTTGTGAAATTGTATATATATTTCAACTGTATATAACTGTAACATAAGTGTAAATATATTTATATATATTACTTTAGCTGTCTCTCTCTCGTTTCGGGTTTTCTTGGTTGTTTTTCTCCCTCTTCTCCCTGAGGTTTGGGGGGGGACAGACTTCTTGTGGTAAGGTTTGGAGACTTGGTAGGGAGTCAACTTCAAACCATATCACAGTCTCACTTCAGTGCCCAGTAAAATCATGGAGAAGATTATTCTGGGAGGTATTGAAAAACACCTGAAAGACAATGCAGTCTTTGGTCACAACCAGCACGGCTTCAATGACACAAAAGTCCTGCTTGTCAAACCTGGTTTCCTTCTACGACAGGGTAACCCACCTAGTTGATCTAGGAAAGCCAGTAGATAAAATGTTTTCAGACTTCAGCAAAACTTTTGATACTATCTCTCACAGTTTCCTTCTGGACAAAATGTCCAGTATACAACTGGATAACCATGTTATGTAGTGGGTGAGCAACTGGCTCACAGGTCAGGCAAAAGAGTTATAGTGAATGGGGTAACATCAGGCTGGCGACGGGTCAGTAGTGGGGTTCCACAGGGCTCCATCCTCGGCCCAGTTCTCTTCAACATCTTCATTAACAACTTGGATGTAGGACTCAAAGGAATATTAAGTAAGTTTGGCGATGACACTAAATTGGGAGGAGCTGTCAACTCCCTCAAGGGCAGAGAGGGTCTGCAGAGAGACCTCAACAAATTAGAGAGATTGGCAATCACCAACTGTATGAAGTTTAACAGGGGAAAGTGCCGGATTCTGCACCTGTGACAGGGCGACCCTGGATGTTCATACAGACTGGAGAATGAGATGCTGGAAAGCAGTGCCTCAGAAAGGCACCTGGGGGGTCCTGGTCTATGGGCAAGTTGAATATGAGTCAACAGTGTGCCCTGGCAGCCAGGAGGGTCAACCGTGTCCTGGGGTGCATCAGGCAAAGCATCGCCAGCCAGTCAAAAGAGGTGATTATCCCGCTCTACTCTGCACTGGTGTGGCCTCACCTCAAGTACTGTGTGCAGTTTTGGTCACCGCAAGATAAGAAAGACATTAAGCTATTAGAGAGCATCCAAAGGAGGGTCACAAGGATGGTGCAGGGTCTGGAGGGGAAGGCATTGAGGAGCGACTGAGGTCACTTGGTTTGTTTAGCCTGGAGAAGAGGAGACTGAGGGGAGACCTCATTGCAGTCTTCAACATCCTCATGAGGGGAAGCAGAGGGGCACGTACCAATCTCTTCATTTTCGTGACCAGTGACAGGACTCAAGGAAATGGCATGAAGCTGAGTCAGGGGAGGTTTAGGTTGGATATCAGGAAAAGGTTCTTCACCCAGAGGGTGGTTGGGCACTGGAACAGGCTCCCCAGGGAAGTGGTCACAGCACCAAGCCTGTAAGAATTCAAGAAGCATTTGGACGCTTTCAGGCACATGGTGGAATTCTTGGGGTGTCCTGCACAGGGTCAGGATTTGGAGTCAGTGATCCTCATGGGTCCCTTCCCACTCAGCATATTCTATGATTCTATGATCTTTGACGTTCCTTCCAACCCTAATAATTCTATGATTCTATGATCTTTAAAATTCCTTCCAACCCTAACAATTCTATGATTCTAAAATCAATTTCAAATGATGGCAGTGTTGCACTATGACAACCTATTATCACTTTTAACTTGGAAATCAGAGGAAATAAGAAAAATGTTTAGCTGGTTAAGCATAAAGTAGTATGGGTGGTTATTTTTCAGGCTTTGAAAACATGGCACAGCTATGCTTTGCAAAGGCCTAAGTAGCATATCAAACAATGTGACAGAGGGAATGAGGTACTCTTAAGCTGCCCAAATTTACATATAGCACCTACCTGACTATAATAGAAACCCTTCTCATTTTCAGTGTTCTCACTGAACACATTTTTGTAAAGCAGGGATATATGAACTGCTAGTTAGATGCAGGTCAATAGAGAGTGATAAGTCACTGCTGTCACTTATATCAGAGGAAAAAACCCCATGAATCCGTCTTCTAATGTATATGCATTTTCCTCCAAAATATTAAAAGTACAACCAGTGCATTTTTTTATTGGAACTTATTACATTCAAAACAATTTACTATTTAACTAACTTTGTGGGATCTGCTCCTTTAAAGTAGGCGTTAACAGACTCAGTAAGGGCTACTGCAACAGGCACGGTATCCTGGTTTCCAAGTCTCACAGGGCTGGGACCACGTGAAACACCTAGAATACATACAGTGTATAGGTTTAATTTTCAAAAAGTTTAGCAATAGATTTCATAATGGTTGACTACACCTGTTTTTTTTACAAGGGGTTACTACCATCATGATCACAGCAGAGTCTGAAATACTACTTGAAAAGCATGTAGAAAAATATAAACATAGTATAGTACAATCGCACCATCATAACACTACTTAGTAGCCTAGAAAAACAGGACTATCAATATGACATTTTGTAAATAGACAGACACAAGGAAATACATATGAGACAGAGGAACACTGCATTAAAATGGCTACTGATGAAACTGAAGTCAACAGATCCAAAGAAAATTACATGTTAACTAAAATACTTTAAAAAAAGTCCCTACTGTATACTTATAGTATGGAAAAATGTATGATAAAAATAGTCACAGAAATGCAAAGAATTCAGTTGGGTTACATATGAACATAAATGGAGATACATTAATATTACTCCACATAAGTGAACTGTTGAACATTCTTTTAACTATTTCAACCAACAAAGATTACAATTCCCAAGTAGAAATTGTTGGAGAAGTATTTTGCAAAGTTTTTCATAGTAAACATTCTGGGAGTACCTTGGAGGTACCTGGAAATACATATCAGTTTACAAGAAAAATAATTACCAGACCTATGTTCAGCCTTCACAGATGTCTGTGCCTACACAACAAAGTTGCAATGCATAGCTATAAAAAATAACTCAGACCTCAGCTAAGGCTTTTTGAAATGATTGAAGTATCAATTGCAAATTGACAAAACCAGTTGTCATGGGATTTTACTTTTCAGTAGTGTTTTATATGTGTACTGAATATAAAAGACAATACTTGAAGTTCTATCTTTTAGTGCAATAGTGTAGTGGAGAGTATCTTACTATTTTTTTTGTACCACTGGTAAAACAGTCTGTATCACATGCCTGCTGCAAGCTCTCAGAAGGACAGGATGTCACAGAGTTGTGCCAAGGCAGACTCATGGTATCTCAGGTTGCAGTCCAGCTCACAGGTCCAGTTCTAGGACCTTCAGCAGCACCAGTAAAAAACCAAAGTATTTCAAGCAAAAATGCATGTTATAGATGTTAAACAATTTAATAAATAAAAAAAACCCATTGCAAATGAAAACAAGGTTAAAGAATAAAAGAAATTCAATTATGCATGTCTACAAGTTCATTTGGAACAAGATAATTATAGTTAACTCTCCATTATTCAGAACAAATGGGGTAAGGGAAACACTGGATTGTGCGAAAGCCAAAAGAGTACAGACAGTAATGCAGAGTATATCCTCATGTCCCAAAATCATTCAGCCATCTGCACTGCCCTTTCCAGCTCTCCAGAACTATTTAATTCATACAATCAGTGCAGGTGAAACTGGTCTTGTTTATTTTTCCTAGACCAGGTTAATAACCATGTCAAACTCTGGTGTCAGCACACACCTCCTTACCTCCTCCTTCACCTCACAATTTCGCTCTGTCACTGTCTCCAATAACACACATAGAGCTGAGGTTATTGATGCTGCTGCCACCAGTTTCTAGTTCCTTGACACCACTGCTGAGGCCTGAGGAGGTGAGCCTAGATGGACTCTGGCAACCAAAATATCAGTTATCTTTCTATGATGCTTCTCAGCATTTGAGAAACTGGTGGACACTGAACTGTGCCAGCATTTCAACAGCTAAGGCTAGGCAGACTTTACTAGCTTTGGTCCTGCACAGGGTAGAAACAGTTGCATTGTTTTCAATGCAGAACTCCTGATAGAAGCTGTGCAGATGCTCTTCTGAGGTTCTGAGCCTGGGTGAGGAATCCTTGACATCAGTAATATTCATAACTGCGTGTTAATTCAAGAGTCTGATTTAACTTGGGAGTAAAGTGGTAATAGTGTTCAGGAATGCAATACTTCAAATCTACTACAGAAACAAGTTCAAATGTCTTAACCCACCCACAAATAATCCCCCTCTCCCATCCCACAAGTCTCCTTGTATTTTTTCTGAAATTAGTGGTAGCACAGGAAGACTCATTTGCTTTTCATCTTCATCTTTATTGTTTGGTTGGTTGTTTTGCTTTTACTAAACATCTCTGTTTAGCTTATATACTTCACTAACTTGAAGAAAAAGGTGCATTAGTTTCACATTTTTGGAAACTGCAATTACAGGATAACAAACAAAATAAAAATAACATAAAAATAACTCAATTTTGTGAACATTTATATTAGTTCCAATTTATCAGTATCCCAAAATACTTCTGTACATATACAATAATGTCTTCTGAACAAATATATAACATTGTGCTTGATGAATAGACAGCACACCAAATACAAATTAATGGAATATTTTAATTTTGAAAAATATTTCACTTAAGAACATGCCATAATTGGATCTATGGTCTAATCTAGTCAAATCCACTGTCCTGTCTCTCAGGTCATTTAGAAGCAGGTATTGCAAAGAATGCTTGAAGTATCTAGACTGAACTCACATATGGAACAACCAACTACAAGGAATGGTTCTCCTAACAAGTGGAACTCAGTGGCAGAATGTTACCATTTCTAAAATGAATTAAAATGGTTAACTTACCAACTGTAGGTGTGTTTGCTGTACTGAGGGAAACAGAAGAGGATATTGAGGAACTGCTCTCTGCATGTGCCAAGGGAGTTGCAGGTGGTGGACTTGAGTTAGAGGTCAATGGAGGGCTGAATGGCCTAGGCTTAACACAAGAGATCGCAAGAGTATTACAGAGACAGAAAGTGGTTTTAAAAAGATGAAAAAAGACTGTAAATAGTTCTTCATTTCATTTTCAAATCAATTTAATAGTGTTTCTAAACATCTTTCTTTTAATGCTTTATCTATTCTAGCTTTAATGTAAAACAGAGAACCCACATTTTCTATGGGAATCAATCCCATTATTTCAGAGTTTATCATTATTAATTTTTTTTGCCTGGTTAGGTAAGTCTAATGTATTTGATTATGTAAAAGTCATGTATATGTGTGCAGCTAATGTGGACTTTCGGAGCTAAAGGAGAGATACTAACAAAATGGAAGTGAGTCCAGCAGAGGGCAACTAAAATAGTTGAGAACTGGAGGATATGAGAGAGAGGGAGAGGTTGAAGGACTTGGGTTTATTCATCCTGGAGAAGCCTAAGAAGAGGTCTACTAGCAGTCTTTCACTAGCTACAAAGAAGATGAAACCAGGCTCTATTCAGAGGTGCAAGAGCTATAAGAAAGGAAATTTCAGCTGAACATAGGGAAGAAATTCCTTCTTGTAACCTTGTGGTTAAGCCCTGGGACAGGTTGCCCAAAGATGTTGAAAGATCTCCTTCTTGGAAGATTTTCAAAACTCAGCATGTCTCTAAGCAATCTGATGCAATTTTGAAGTTAGCCCTTCTCTGAGCAGGAGATTGGTCTAGAGGAGATCATAAGTCCCTTCCACCCTAAATCTGTGGATAGTTTTATGACCCATTTAACTGTTAAGGTATTAATTTAAAATAACTAATGAACAATTTGGGATAATCCTATCTAAAAGGTATGGAACTCCTGAAGCATCTGTTTTGGTTGGGTAATTTTTTTTTTTTTTGGTTCTATCACACTTGTCACTGAGTATATGACTTTTATATAGATTGTGGGAATTGCAATCTTCCACTTACATCCAGATAATAGCCAATTTCTAAAACATGTAACTTTTCGCAGAATCATACTTTATAGAACAAACATACTTTATAGAACAATACCAGCTAAATTCTTCTCTTTAATTCTGATGATATCAAGAACAGATTTCTTGATCTAAGAGAAATTACTACAATTTTATATTGGAATGAGAAAATAATCTCCAAATGAACCCTACTCTGACCTTATACCATTACAGAAAAGCAAAGGAGTTAAACAATGTTTCAGTTTTGTTAAAGCATAAGACCAGATTTTTTTTTTTCCATAATGAGAATATGGTGAAAGTATCTTGCTACTTTGAAAGACAATAAGAGGATCTTACTACAGTAAAATTTTTCCAAGTCAGTAAGTCAAATGAAACCCAAAGAATCATAATATTCATAGAAGACATTAAGCATGGCTTGGTCTGATATGCTGTCTGGGTATTTGCATTCTTTGCCACATTCCTTATCAGCACGTGGACCTGCACTGCAAGCAGTGAGCAGAGATGGAAGCAGCAATGCAACCTATCACTGTCCGGATGGGCAGTTGCTAAAATCTGCCACCTCCCTTCTCCACCAACCAGCACCAAGGGCAGGGTGAAGTCATAGAACTACTTGTATTAAAACATGACTGATAAAGATCTACCTAATAACACTCATTCCCCAAAACTTTGGTGATATCCCTAAATCAACTGAGTTTTGTTAATTATTTCACTAGTATTTCATATTTTGAAAATTTTAATCCTACACATATGTTAACCTTTAATTTTCAAGATATTGATTTGTTCAATTAAAAACATTCAGTTGATGCAAAATTTATGTTTTGGACCTTTTTAGTTCAGTTAAGAATTATTTTGTTATAGTAACATGTTTATCATGAACAACTTCATGCCTATCCAGTAATAGTGAAAATCTGAGTATGTGATTCCCTGAACATTGTCTAGAAAGTAACTCCACTGTAACAATGTGTAGTGGTTTAACCCCAACTGGCAACTAAGTATCACACAGCTGTTCCCTCACCCCCCCTGCCCCCAGTGGGGAGGAGAATCAGAAAGGAAAGGTAAACCTCATGGGTTGAGATAAGATTTTATCGGGTTTGGTGTGACAAGGTTTTGGTAGTGGTTTCTGGTGAGAAGCTGCTGAAAGCTTCCCCCATGTCTGACAGAGACAATGTCAGCCAGCTGCAAGATGGACCCACCTCCAGTCAAGGTCGAGCCAATCAGAGATGGTAGTAACGCCTCTGCGATAACATATTTAAGAAGGGAAAAAGTTATTGCGCAGAAGAAAATTGCAACCAGAGAAGAGAGGAGTGAGAATACGTGAGAGAAACAACTCTGCAGACACCAAGGTCAGTGAAGAAAGAAGGGGAGGAGGTGCTCCAGGTACTGGAGCTGAGATTCCCCTGCAGCCTGTGGTGCAGTCCATGGTGGAGCAGAGATCCACCTGCAGCCCACAGAGGACCCCAGGCCAAAGCAGGTAGATGCCAGAAGGAAGCTGTGACCCCATGGGAAACTTGCACTGGAGCAGGCTCCTGGCAGGACCTGTGGTCACATGGAGAGAAGGAGCCCATGCTGAAGCAGCTTTGCTGGCAGGACTTGTGACACTGTGGAGGACCCATGCTGGAGCAGCCTGTTCCTGAACGACTGCATCCTGTGGAAAGGGACCCATGCTGGAGCAGGGGAAGGAGTCCTCCCCCTGAGGAGGAAGGAGAGGCAGAAACAACATGTGATGACCTAACAGTAACCCCCATTACCTGTCCCCTTGTGCTGCTGGGGGGGAGGAGTTTGAGATTTGGGAATAAAGTTAAACCTGGGGAGGGTGGGGAGGTGGTTTTAATATTTGTTTTACTTATTATCCTGCTCTGATTTGATTGGTAATACATTCAATTACTTTCCCAAAGTCGGGTCTTTTTTGCCCGTGATGGTAATTGGTGAGTGATCTCTCCCTGTCCCTATCTCAACTCATGACCCTTTCATTATATTTTCTCTCCCCTGTCCAGTTAGGGACGGGAGTGACAGAGCAGCTTTGGTGGGCATCTGGCATCCAGCCAAAGTCAATCCACCACAAAGAACAATTTAATAATTGAAACAAACAAACAAAAAGAGAAAACCAATATAATAATAATAATAATGGTAAGACAGGGTAGGAGAGAGAGAGAGAGAGAGAGTAACAGAAGCCAAGAGAAACAAGTGATGCACAATACAGTTGCTCACCACCCACTGACTGATGCCCAGACCATCCCCAAGCAGTGATCAGTCCCTACCAGCCAACTCTCTCCACTTTATATACTGGGCATGACATTCTATGGTGTGAAATATCCCTTTGGCCAGTTCGGGTCACCTATCCTGGTTATGCTCCCTCCCAGTTTCTTGTGCAGCTCCTCACTGGAAAAACATGAGACACTGAAAAGCCCTTGACTCAGTGTAAGCACTGTTCAGTAAAAACCAAAACATCGGTGTGTGTAACAACCAGATAATATAGAAATGCCAAAAATAATGTTTTGCCATTGTTTCTGCCTGTCAAAACTTCCTACCAAAAATTCTCTGTCAGCTTTCTGCCAGAAGTTCTCACCAGAGCTTCCTGTTGGAGTTTTCCTGCCAAAAAATCCTGCTATTGTTTATGGTTATTGTATCTCTTCAAACATCTGAATAGGGTTACATTCCAGGAAACCACGTACAAACTCCTTTGAACACTATAAAAGTTGAGGAAAGATTTTGGAAAATCAGGGAGAGGAAAGGGAGAGAACTCTTAACCGTAGCCAAGAATCTCTCCCCAACTCCCCCTCACCTTTTCTCTGCCACCACATGCTGCCTGCCTGTTACCGGAGACTGAAACTCTGCCGACCTGGAGAGAACTGCGACCCACCATGCCACATGCCTGAGTTATATCTTATCCTTCTACCCTTACCATATTTCTGACAGCTGAAAGGTGCTTCTGAATCGGGACCCTGCACGGCTTGGGACAGGGCTCAATGTGAGCAGTGAAGCCACACATCCTGGCTGCATTCCAGAGAACTAAAGCTGCTAAGACACCCCTCCACCTCCCCCCCCCCTCCTTCCCCCAGCAGCTAAAGAGATAACATCGAAAAGCGGCAGAGACAGAGAAAAAAAAAGGCAGAAACTGCTTACCCCCCCCCACTCCAGTTCGGTGGAAAGGCAGTTTTGGTGGTATCTTTCCTATGCTTCTAGAAGTAATCTTAGCTTTCTCCAACCTTTTCTTATTTTTTCCTCCATCTCTGCATCTCTTAGCAATTAATAAAATCAGTTTTTGGTATCAACAGATAACTTGTATGACTTTTAATTTTGCTCAGGGGAATATTCGAATCTGAAGTTCTTTCTGCAACATTTAAGTAGATTGTAACAGTGTATTATCAGCATTATTCTCCTATGGAATCCAAAACACAGTACCGTGCCAGCTACTGAGAAAAAAATGAACTCCGATCCCAGTTGAAATCAGGACACTATGTAAATTATATATCTGAAACTGAGTACAATGGAGAATTAAAAAACCCAACAATCAATACATACTATTTCATTAATTCCACTAAATTTCCCTGTAGACAATTTTGGTGATGAAGCAGGCCTTGGAGGGGGGACAATGGTGCCTACAGAAAGACGATTTGTGGGTCTTGCTGAAAGAAAGCAAATTTAAAATCAATATTAGAAAGATCACATAAATATGTACTCACTTGAACAGAATAACTGGAAATTCTATTAAAAGTTCCTATTTTACAAGCTCCATTTTGTAAAATTTACCATTAATCATAAATGTTTTTAAAATAGGGTCATGTGATACCCTGAAAAAGTGACTCTAAAAATGGCATCATGAGCTTTCTCATTCCTCTTGAATGATTTTAAACCAACTATTCTCAGAGGTTTGAGTGTAAAAAGATGGTTTTACCCAAGTTCCCTTTTGTGTATAGTCTATATGGATTCAGAATACAGGACAGTCTTTCATGTCTAACCACAAATGGATAATTCAGTGGGAAAGGCATATAGTGCTTTTGGAAAACTCCATAAAAGAGTTTGGCGAAATAAACACCTGAAGAAAAGTACAAAGATCAGTGTTTACAGAGTCATTGTGTTGTCTACTCTTTTATATGGATACGAATCATGGGTCATCTACCGTCACCACCTGCAACTCTTAGAACACTTCCATCAATGCTGTCTCTGTACAATCCTAAACATCCACTGGTCAGATTATGTGACTAATATGTCTGTTCTAGAACAGGCAGCAGTTACAAGTATTGAGGCCATGTTGCTGAGAACACAGCTGCATTGGGCAGGACATGTCTCAAGGATGAAGGACCACCGCCTCCCTAAGATCCTGCTTTATGGTGAACTTGTCACTGGTTGCCGCAAGAGAGGACCCCCGAAGAGAAGACACAAGAACTCCCTGAAACAACATCTCAGCCTTGGCCATATTGATCAACATAACTGGTCTACTCTGGCCTCCAATCGCGATGTCTGGAGACACACCATCTATAACGCTGTTGATGCTTTTGAGAAAGCACACAGGATCACCCTCAAGGAGAAAAGACAACGCAGAAAGAATCGTGTCTTGTCGATACCACCTAAGGAGTCTTTCTGCTGTGCCTTTTGCAACTGGTCTTGTCTATCTCGTATTGGCCTTTTTAGCCACCAACGCGCTTGTAGCAAATGTGGATAGAGCCCTTCCCAAATCTTCGTTTGCGAAACCTAGCCATGATGATGAATTCAGTGGAAAGTCATATTTGGTTCTGGTTGACAATAGCATAACTGTTTACATCAAATTATACCCTCTGAAATCCCACTGACTTCAATAAGTATACACCAACATAACACATAAATTACTCTGTTGATTGCAGGAACACAGTAACTCCATATTATCTCTTAACCAAGATATGGGAAGTAAAAAGCAGTTAAAAAAATACTGCCCTCGTATCCTTCTAAACCTAACAGACACAACTAACAGATAGTGGCAACGGTACAACGATGTTACTTTTACATAGTTACTTTTCCAAATTGAACTGTACTTCAAAATAAATGTTAGATGCCAGCCAACAAGTATGACATTTAAAATTAACTTCAAAATAGACTGAAATCCTAATATATGACTATGTTGTTGGAGCACATCCTATCATCTCCCTCAGATTATTCTGGATGGTTCTTCTTTAATCAAATCAGTTAATTTTATTTAAAAATATAACTTTTAAGTATGGAATTTTCTCAGAAATTCAGTATAACTCTGCCGTAATTCAAGTATTGGAATTTCGACACTTACTTGGAAAGAAACAAATTAGGCTAATACTGACCACATCCACCTTAAGAGATGCAAACTCAAATGTTCTCAAGTAAATTCACTTCTGAAACATCAGTCATTCCTTTAAAATTCTTCTTATGCCCAGGAAGACAGTGCATGCTAAACATTAAGTAGTCTGCAGCAGTATCACAGGTATTTAGTGAGTTATGGTCCACTTGCCCAAATGCACTTTTCCTTTGCCCTATAAGCATGTAGCATTACCGCAATATCATCCACGCTTCAAAATGCTGGGTGTTAAAAAGGAATAGTTTCAAATCCAAATTATTTAACTTTATTTAATCTGAAAACATCTATACATTCCTATTTCTACAAAAGCAAAGCTCTCAACAGTTGAGAAAAAAGAATGCTTTTAATTAGTTTGAATTTTTTTTATTTCAAGCAGTATATTTATTTCATTGTCCTTACTTTAAATGAAGTCGGTGCTAACAAGCAGTTTAGTACATTCTAAGTAAGAATCATGTAATCGTTTAGGTTGAAAAAGACCTCCAAGATCATCAAGTCCAACACTAAACCATGTCCCCAAGTGCCACATCTACACGGTTTTTAAATCCCTCCAGGGATGATGACTCCACCACTGCCTGGAGCAACCTGTTCCAATGCTTGACAACCCTTTCAGTGAAGAAATGTTTCCTAATATCCAACCTAAACATCCCCTGGTGCAACTTGAGGTCATTTCTTCTTGTCCTGTCACTTGTTACCTGGGAGAAGAGACAAACCCCCTCTATGGAGCCTTCCTACCCTCCAGCAGGTCAACGTTCCTGCCCAACTTGGTGTTGTCTGCGAACTTGCTGAGAGTACACTTGGTCCCCTTTTTCAAATCATTGATAAGGATATTAAACAGAACTGGTCCCAATACCAAGCCCTGGGGAACCCCACTTGTGACTGGCCACCAGCTGGATGTAGCACCATTCACCACCAGCAAAGAATGCACGTGTCCAAGACATGGGTTGCAGCTTCTCCAGGAGAATTCTGTGGTAAACACTGTCAAAGGTTTTACTGAAGCCCAGATAGACAACATCCACAGCCTTTCTGTCATGCACTAAGCAGATCACCTTCCCTTAGAAGGAGATCAGGTTAGTCAAGCAGATCCTGCCTTTCCTAAACCCATGCTGGCTGGGCCTGATCCCCCCCGGTTGTCCTGCATGTGCCACATGATGGCATATGATCTGCTCCATAACCTTCCCTGGCACCGAGGTCAGACTGACTGGCCTGTAGTTTCCCGGATCCTCCTTCTGGACCCTCTTTAGATGGGCATCACATTTGCTAACTTCCAGTCAACTGGGACCTCCCCAGTTGACCAGAACTGCTCATAAATGTTTGAAAGTAGCTCAGTGAGCTCTTCTGCCAGCTCCCTCTACTCAGATCTCATCTGGTCCCATAGACTTATGTGGGTCTAAGTGGCATAGCAGTTCACTGACCGTATCCCCATGGATTATGGGGACTGTCTCTGTCTTCCAGTTCAGGGTTCTGGGTACCCTGAGAACAACTGGTCTTGTAATTATATATATATATATGTATATATAAAATTTATCCTTAAATATATTACAAATGTGGATCCAGTAGCCATCTTATCTGGATATCTAATTGAGAAAGAGACAATGTAATGAATTCTGTAAGCTAGATTTGTTATAAAACATAACTTTTAAGGAATATGAAGTGGAGGAATAATAAGTTGCACTTAAAACCCTAATGGTTACTTAGCAATGTTGGTTGCTACTAAGAGGACATGACTAAAGCCAAGAAGAATTAGCACTAGTTGAACAAAATTCTCCTATTGATATATGTATTCTTTCTCACTCATCTTCAATTTGTATGAGCAGGTACAGATGAAAACAGAAAGCCATGACTGTGAACAAAAAAGTAAGGTCTATAATAATTTTTGGAAAAGGAATACCCAACTAAAAGAAACAATAACCACTTCCTTTCTCAAGTGCATGGGAGGAGAAGAGTCTCTGCATTAAGACAGTAGGGGCTGGAAAATAGACATGCAGTAGGCAGACTGAAGAGAACTATGAAACAGAGTATCTACTACTGTTACTAAATAGTAGATTCCACCTTAAATCCCCTGAGATAATCAACATAAATAATTTAAGTGAATACTTTTAGTAAGCAGGTCTTAACATAGCACTAATATCTGGTTTTGTTTTGGTATCTCCTTCCTCTTTCTGAACTAGTTTCTCAACATCTCCTGCTCTCAGTCTCTTCAACACAGTTTTAAGATGCTCCAGGGGAGGTTTAGGTTAGACATTAGGAAGAAGTTCTTTACAGAGAGAATGATTTGGCATTGGAATGGGCTGCCCAGGGAGGTGGTGGAGTCACCATCCCTGGAGGTATTTAAGAAGAGACTGGATGTGGCACTTAGTGCCATGGTCTAGTAGACAAGGTGGTGTTAGGTCAAAGGTTGAACTTGATGATCTCAGAGGTCTTTTCCAACCTAGTCGATTCTGTGATTCTGTGAACACACAGAACCACTTATATGCTATTTTGCCTCCCTCTCCCTTACTGCCTTTTGAATGGAAAAATCAATATTGCCTGTTTCTGTAAACATCCCCCCCCTTCAAGACCAAGTTTCAGGAAAGCCTGTCAGTATCCTGCCCACACTAATATACTCCAAAATCCTGTGCCCAAAATTCACAAACACAGTTTCAGCCCCTTCCCCTCCACCTCCCATACTCCTCAGTCCACCCTCTTCCTCCCAATACACCTACTCTCAGGTGGTGCCAGGAATTCCCCCTTAATTCCAGACTCAGTCCTGCCATTTTTCTCCCACCCACACATCTAACAGATTCATGGTTTCCTACAGGAAACAAGTTCCTCACAGCAAAGCTCCACAGTGGCTTTGTGCTGATACCTCAACAGGCTTTCCTAGAAAGAAGAAACCTACCCCTGTTCACAGTGCCAGTTCAGCATCTCTCAGGTGCTGTGACAACCTCCACTTAATTTACCAACTTTGTAAAAATAGGATTCTATTCTTCCTCCAGCATAGATGATCATTTTTTGTAATGAGAGAAAAATAAGACAAAAGTAAGATAGAATTTTCCTAAGGTTTCTAGTGTTCCCTCTTCCCCCTTGCTCCCTAGCTTGAAAGCCTGACATACTGCACTCCAAGTTGTGTATTACTCATAGGATACTGCTTTACAAAATTCTTTCATTTCAATAGTCAAAGCACATCTCCTTGCAATGACTAAAAAAGCAACAACAAAACATCCTGAAGAATAAGCAGAAAACATTTTCTACTATGAAATATTTTACCTGAGGAGGATGAGGATACCATGAGGCCTGAAGAGGAAGATTCAAGAGAACTGCTTAAGAGTGGATTCCATGCCAGAAGGTCACTGTTTCCCTTTCTATAGTAAGCATTACAATTAGAATATTAATGAAAGATGTATATACTCATAAAAATACAATTACAACTTTGGTAAATCATCTTCTGTATTAGTTAGCCTTTGCATTTCAAAATTAATAGTACTTACAAATTGCAGGTCAAGGAACTGATTTACACGTAAGGAAACTGTCTGAACTGATAATCAGTGCAAGTTTGTGTGTGGACATATTTCATAATGTCAGTAAATTATTTTCATTTTCAACAAGACATACATCTACAAATCAGTTTGTTTCAGTATATACATATATGAGCAATGCCCAAATTTGAGACTTGTAATCCTAAACACTTGACAATGGAACACTGTAAATATGATGGAAACTAAATCCCTCTTATTGAAAACCTGAAATTTTGATAAAAACTAATATTTTGTAATCCCATAGTTATAAATATGAATGAAGTAAACACATTAGAAGGGGAAAACAAGTGAATAAAAATCTCCATTGTTACATAATTACTCGTTAACTCTTACAATACAATAAACACCTGATTTAAAATAGCAGTCAACTGATATTTCCAATAAGTCTCAGAGTCTTAGATTAAAATAAGACCAAATTCCCCCAAAACTACACTTGATATAATTTTAAAAGTTGAACTTACTCATTAGCTGGAGTAGAAAGCTTTGATTTTGTTAACTCTTCACCTAAGGAAAAGACACAGTATTATCACCACTAAAATAAAAATCTTTTAGTTTCATTATAAAAAGATAGCAAATGTTAATAGTCACAGTTCAAAACTAATTATGAATTAATAAAATGGAAAAGAGAAAATGCATTATCTCCTATAATATAAATTCAGATGCTCCTGAAATACCTTCTAAAAGGAGAGGACTAAACAGAGTAACACATTTCAGGAGGAAGTGTTGATCACTTGAAATTTCTTCCTTAAATTACACTGTTTGCATCAATATTATTCTTCAGGAAACCTGGATTGGTTTCCCACTGAGAAAAACACTAGAGACTAATGCTCTGTCCTCTATCTCCATGGCCATATTTTATGGTTTTGACTATAAAATGAGAGAGTGCTCTGCTGTTTTGTGGGTGATACTCAACTTGTGCAGGTGGAAGGGTTTTAACAACTTACACAAGAGTAATTTCTACAGATATCCCCCCTCCCCCCTCTTTGGCTCTTGGACTTGTTCCTCATCACTGTCACAGACAGACTCATCTGTTTCTTAGAACAGGGAACAGCTGAGTATACAGAAAAAGAAGAGGCCTTTGGGTGGCTTCTACTAGCTACTTCGAAATTTTGACCAAATAACTTATTTTGTCTGTTGAATTTATTGTTAGTAGTTCAAATGCAAATATCATAAACGTACCTAGAATTGACAAGAGAAATACCTTTTCTACTTAAAATAGAAATACTTAATAAGTTTATTTCTTCAACAATCATTAAAAAAATATTTTCATGTCATGTTAAAAAAACTAATGTAAATAGACTAAAAGCTAAATATTCACACTTACTGGATGCATTTTGATTAGTTTGTACCTGAAACAGAAAAGAATAAATTCTATTGCCAACTGTCAAATAAAATACTTAATAGTCCCAGAGTTCTTATTTCAGCTTTCCATATGTTATTTTGCTTTGAATGCCAGGCAGACCATTTTGGAGCTTGCAGGAGACCAGAACATGAGCCAGGACAGAGCAACTAGTGCATACCCACAACACCAGTTAGAAAAGGCAGGAATGAAGACTACAGAGCTGACAAAGGCAACAGTTCGACTAAACCCCTTGACAGGCTGGGCCAGTAAAATTAAACGGCTTTTATATCACATAGTATACTTGAGAGGTAAGAATAGAAACATTCCTAAGTTTTTCCCAATAACTTTCTCACATATTACACTTGGTGTTAATCTAAAAATGTGAATAAAAAGCCATTCTGTACTTACAGAACTCTGTTTCTGCTTTCATAATGGGGGGGGGGAAGAGAAAAATAATCATTATTATTTTAATATGCATAATATTTTCCTTAAAATCAGGACCATCTATATTGTGATGTGAATAATGTACTAGCATACTTTAACAATATTTATTTGCAATATCATCCCACAGTATAAAGGATCATTCTGTAGTTTGACAGAATACATACAATAAAGCTGCACTGTAAAAGTTATATGTATCTACATTATATGATCTGTTTTTAAGGTTTGTATATTATTGAATACAAATTAGTAAACTATGTTAAAAGCTATGCTCAGCTAACTTCATATGTATTCAAATGTCTTGTGGTAGCAATAGCAAAGACAAGGACTAAGCACTCCCAAGACTCAAAGCAAAGTTAAAATCTGAGAGGGGGGAATTGCTTAACATCAAATTGCAATAAAGTGTATCAAAGATGACATAGTGCACAAAAAAAAAAATCCTTGAACTTGAATCTAGAATAAATTCTGAACAGTAAAATATATGTAACACTAAAGATTCCTTACCACTTTTCTTCTATACTCATTAAAAATACAAGGAACAAAAATACTTACAGATATTGCTGGAGAAAGAGCAATGTTCCCTATAGATACTTTTAATTCATCCAAAGAAGGTATGGTATATTGAGAGCTATCATTTGTTTGGACAGGTTTTATTTCTACATGGAACCTCCTGGGTTCATCATCTTCAGAGTCAGAATCACTGGATGAATAGCAATGGTTCTTTTTGGTATGTTTTTCTTAGTTAAGGTAGAAGTACTTCAAATTCATCTGTCTACTGTGTTTCACAATTGCTCTCTACAAAATGGTCATATTAAGTAAACACCACAGATAAACAATGCTACCTAAGCTCTTTGTACACTTATACAGACACTTCTATTATATCCACTGTTCAAAATTCACAACTCATAGTTAAAATTTAGTTTTTATAATCCATTCATCTTCATAATGGTATTCTGTTATCCAAGGCACAATATTATCTAACTGAATGGTTGTATATTTGAAAGTATTAGGATAAATGATTATACAGTAGCAACACTTCTGTATGTTAAATTTATGATTTGCAAGATTCAATGAAGGATCATAATGCATGTATGAAAAATGTATGCATCGTAAAAATCCTTTTAAACCAAGTGTGGGAAGTCCTAGCCTTTCTGATTAGCAATGAAATGCTCATGGTACTTGCACCAAACTTAACAGTAGAGGAAGCAGCATCCACCATTACTTGCTCTTCTTACAGAGGCACTGAAAATTTAGCAGCAAAGGATGCCAGTTACACAGAAGGCTGCACAGTAAACTAAACCCCACCAGTCACTTAAAGCACTGTCATCCTTGGATAAAAAGGAATCACAATGACAACAGTCCTCAAAATAAGCAAAAGATACAGATGAATTTAGCCTTGGTCCTTTATATGCACAGCAACTGCACTCAACAAAAGCTCTGAAATGCCTATGCTAAGTCTTAAAAGATGCAGTTGTTTTGACAAGAAACAAGTTGAAATTTTTCCTCTGCTGAAACAGAAGTATCTTGCCACCTAGGGGGAGCATGCATATTCTATACCTCAATTCTGTTATTTTCACTTGGAAATATGCCAGCCATTAGAACAAAATCCCTTCAAAATACTCCCTAACAAAGATTAAACCCCTGAACCATAAAGACATTCCAAATCCAATTCAACTGAAAGAAACCCTGAGATGTGGTAAGGAAAAAGTCAAATGTCTTCATCTTACAGGTTACCTGTCCCACAAAATGGATCACAACTGGAAAAGTAATTTTTCATTTCACCAAAAGATTTCTTGCCCTGAAAACTATCACCAAGTGTCATGGTTTGAGATAGCCCCAAAATCCAATTCCCTAGCTCCATCCCCCCTCCCACATCTCAACCTAATGTGAGATGGGTTTTTCCAGACAAAACACAACCAGACTCAGAATGGGGGAAAGGGAATATATTACAATGACTGTACAAATAAATACTATAACACATTATACACAACTATCTCTACCATGACATATAGTATTTACAATGGATCAGATCTCCTCTCCCCTCCAAATAAAAGTCCAGGAGGGAAAGAAGGACATATCCCTTCCAGTCTCTCAGGGCAGCAGCTTCTTCTAAGGCAGCAGGTTCTCCTCATCTCATGCATGCAGCAGCTGATAGTTGGATCTCTGCCAGCACTCACGAGGGGGGTATCCCCACCCGGCCCCTTGACGCAGGCAAAGGGGTCTTCCGTGGACTTCGTAACCCCAGACAAAGGTCGTTTCACCACGTCATATCACGAAGACGCAGGGGGTCTTTGTGACAGTCTGGTATCTCCAGGAGATTGAAGCTCCTTGCAGGGCCTCTGTGCCCTGTCTCAGGCTGCGAGCTTCTTTGTAGCTTGCAGCAAGGGAGGGCCCCCAAGGCCAACCTCCCACACCGTCCTGGCTCAGTTCTCAGGACGACTGAGCTTCTCAGCTCCTCTCTGCAGTGCATGTTGCACTTCAAGGCTCTTTCAAGCAAGAGTCCATCATCTTCCTCCTTTCCAGGAGGTCTCAAAGGAGTTTTAGGGGTTTGGTACAGTTCCTACCCCCAGAACTCCAAAGTTCTGCTGCGGGCTCTCTTCTCCTCAACTCTCCTTCCAGGAGTATTCTCTGCGGTGCTGCATGTCTCTGTTGCTCCGTCTTATCTCTTCTGGCTCTCTGCCACCGCTTCTCCGGTCAGTGCCAGCTCGGTTGCTTTTCTCCGACCTCTGCCCAGTTTGGAGAAAACATCTCCCAGCTCACAACTACAGGTACCTAGCCCAACTGTATGCTGTTCCAGGTCCCTGTAACCCCCAAGTGGGGCTGGGGGGCCCCAGAGGCCCCGAGGGGCTCCGGACCCCTTTCCTCGTGGCTCCTACAACAATGGTTACTTCTTCTAACAACCAAAACTACCACTCATCTCTTCCGGTGCTTGTGATATGTTTACATTTCTGCAGGAGCGCTCATTTGGCAGAACTTCAAAACTTCCAGGGGTCTCCACCCCTGGGGGTTACCACTTTTCAGCCTCTGGGGGAAAACAAGGTTCAAACCACTACACCGAGTTTCAAGATTCATTTCCTACGAATCAGGTAGCTCTTATAAGGTGGCATGAGCTGGCCACTGAGGTTTTAAGTCTATTAAACAGTTACTGACAAAGATCAGTTTAGACCTGAATGCCATGAACTGAAAGGTCAGTCAGCAATTTTTAGAATGAGTGTTTTTTCAACACTTAAGACTAGTCTTATTAAGATTGACTGCCATTGTGGTAAAATAATGTCCTTCAACAAATCATCTCAAGAGTTCCCATCATAAGAATAAATATCCACTCTTGGAGGTTAAGAGAGGAAAAGAGGAAGGAAACTGATGATTTTGTGAATCTGTTTAAGATTTTCAGAAGCTGAAGTACTACCTGGCTGACAGGAATTGCAAACCACTGAGTTTTTTCACTGGATCTATGGACTTTTCCATTGCTTTGTGACAAAAAGGGTACTGGATACAAGGATGTTCAGGTGAATCACTTAAAAAGCATGAGTGTTACTCACTCCTGGTTCCATTCCATAAAAATATGCAAAACATGAAATAATGTACCCCCCCCGAACTGGATAAAAGTCTTTTGCTTTTATACCAATGTTATGACCTGCCCTGCCGGGTAGGAGTAACTTTTGTTTTATTAATAAATCTCTTGTGGTGAATTAAAGTAAATTGATACTAGATGATCAGTGTTTACAAATATATACATATATATGGTTTATTTTAGAACAATTTGGTTGCAAAGGAAAACAGGTATGTAACTGTTTTGGTTGTTATTATCTATAGTTACATGGCAATATAAAAGCATAAATGTATTGCAAAGGAAAACAGGTATTTAACCATTTTGGTTGTAATATAGCAATGTAAAAGCATAAAGATATCACCCAAGAAAATATGTAAGGGAAAAGAGAGAAAGAAAGAGAGAGAGAAAAGAATAAGAGTTAAAGGGAAAAGAGAGAAGGGAAGAGAGAAAAAGTAAGTGTTTATAGTCACCACTCAAAGGTCTCCGATGAACTTGGTTACTGTTGTTGTCGCTGGTGTCCTGGTCCATCAGTGAGTGGTGGGGGAGAGAAGCCCATGAATCATAAAATTTGGTGGGTTTATATACCTTCAGAAACCCTCCTGGTGCCTCCCCGTGTGTGTGTGGTAGGGGCTGTTTTGATCACACACCCAGAGAGTCGCTGTTGGTCTTCTTTAGATAGGCATCACACACCTAGAGAAGCAACACACCCCAAAGAGTTGCCCTCCGGGCCTTCAAAGTTAACAATTTGTGGGCTATGGCCTCCTCCCCTCAGCCTTTATCTTCACTCTCCTGGCTTCTTTGCACAGTTCGTTATAGTAGCAATGTTTTAAGGCAATTAAAAAAGTCCAGTTCCTCACAACCAATCATGTAAATAAGAGATAACATGAACTATTTTTATCAGTACAGGAACCTTCACTGGGGGCAACAGAGACATATTTGTCAAAAGTGATGAGAACAGAGAACCTATGATGACCGGCCCACTTTAAGGTGCTCTCAACTGGTTAAAAGTTTTCACAATTTAAAGTAATTGCAAAGTGTAAGTTTAACTTTTATTTTACCTGTAGTCCCCTGAAAAATTGGTGAATACATTTCCAAAAATGATCTACCTTGCTAACATATTAGGCTTGCTTAGATCTTCAACAGTTCTTCCTAGCTCTTAAGTAGAGCTTCCCTCTGTTTCTGATGGAAGAAAAAAAAAGAGGACAAGAATCTTTTCCTTCAAAGGGAGAGCAGAGAAAATAATGAAATCCATTTAAAAAAAAAGACTCGTAACAAAAATCTGTTCAAAACTATCATTAAAAATACAATAAAAGCTATAAGCACCACTTAGAAACAGCATGATGTTTCATTAATTAACAGAAATTCTATTTCTAGACTGATGTGGTTTCAAATGTTTTTAATAGTGTTATCAAAAAGTGGGAAGGGCACAGACATAGAACAGAAAGCCATTCAGTATGCTTAAAAGAGTTCACAAACTATACTTTATAGAATCATAGAATCAGCTGGACTGGATCAAGTCCAACCCTTGATCCACTACCGCCGTGGTTACTTGACCATGGCACTAAGTGCCACATCCAGTCTCATCTTAAAAACCTCCGGGACGGTGAATCCACCACTTCCCTGGGCAGCCCATTCCAATGCCTGATTACCCTCTCTGTAAAGAATTTCTTCTTAATATCTGACCTAAACCTCCCCTGGCACAGCTTAAGACCATGCCCTCTTGTCTTGCTGATAGTTGCCTGGGAGAAGAGACCAACCCCCACCTGGCTACAACCTCCTTTCAGGTAGTTGTAGAGAGCGATGAGGTCTCTCTTGAGCCTCGTCTTCTCCAGGCTGAACAACCCCAGCTCCCTCAGCCTCTCCTCATAGGACTTGTGCTCGAGTCCCTTCACCAGCCTTGTTGCTCTTCTCTGCACCTGCTTCAGCATCTCAATATCCTTCCTGAACTGAGGGGCCCAGAACTGGACACAGTACTCAAGGTGTGGTCTCACCAGTGCTGAGTACGGGGGAAGAATCACTTCCCTGGACCTGTTGGTCACACTGTTCCCGATACAGACCAGGATGCCATTGGCCTTCTTGGTCACCTGGGCACACTGCTGGCTCATGTTCAGCTTCCTGTCAATCCAAACTCCCAGGTCCTTTTCTGCCTGGTTACTCTCCAGCCACTCTGTCCCCAGCCTATAGTGCAGCAGGGGGTTGTTGTGACCAAAATGCAGGACCCGACACTTGGCCTTGTTGAACCTCATCCCATTGGAATCAGCCCAACTCTCCAGTCTGTCCAGGTCCCTCTGCAGAGTCCTCCTGCCTTCCAGCTGATTGACACTCCTCCCCAACTTAGTGTCATCTATAAATTTGCTGATGGTGGACTCAATCCCCTCATTTAAATCATTGATAAAGACATTAAACAGAACTTGGCCCAACACTGATCCCTGGGGGACACCACTAGTGACCGACCACCAACTGGATGCAGCACCGTTCACCACCACTCTCTGGGCCCGGCCCTCCAGCCAGTTCCTAACCCAGCAGAGAGTGCACCTGTTCAAGTTGTGGGCTACCAGCTTTTCCAGGAGTATGCTGTGGGAGATGGTGTCAAAGGCCTTGCTGAAGTCCAGATAGACCACATCCACAGCCTTCCCCTCATCCACCAGGTGAGTCACCTGATCACAAAAGGAGATCGGGTTGGTCAGACAGGACCTGCCCTTCCTAAACCGGTGCTGGCTGGGTTTGATCCCTTGTCCATCCTGTAGGTGCTGTGTGATTGCACTTAGGATGATCTGTTCCATAACCTTGTTGGGCACTGAGGGCAGGCTGATGGACCTGTAGTTTCCCAGGTCCTCCTTCTGGTCCTTTTTGTGGATTGGTGTGACATTTGCCAACTTCCAATCGTCTGGGACCTCCCCAGTGAGCCAGGACTGTTGGTAGATGATGGAGAGTGGCTTGGCGAGCTCTTCCACCAATTCCCTCATCACCCTAGGATGGATCCCATCTGGTCCCATAGACCTGTGAGGATCCAAGTGGCTCAACAGGTCACTAACTGTTTCCTCCTGGATTACAGGGGGGCTATTCAGCTTCTTATCTCTGTCTACAAGCTCCAGAAGCCAGCTGTCCTCAGGACAATCTGTCTTACTGTTGAAAATTGAGGTAAAGGTGTTAAATACCTCAGCCTTTTCCTCATCTTTGATAACTATGTTCCCACCCATGTCCAATAAAGAATGGAGGTTTTCCCCCTCTGAAAGTTTTACGTGGAGAAAAATCTGCATGGTTACCTTGAAGTTTTTGTTCTGGATTTTTTTTACTGTCAGATGAAAAAACATGCTCCTGAAGTTCCTCAGACATCTGATCTAACCTTTAACATTTACACACATAAAATCTAAACTAGACAAAATTTTGTGCACTATGAACATAAGACTACAAGATTACAACATAAGCATGTCATTCATCTTCCTTGACTTAACACTTTAATGGTTACTTCCCCTCCCCAAATAATTGTAATAACAAGAAATAACTTGGTACAATAATAGCAAAAAGGATATCCTGTGATGCTTCTGGTTTAATGCTGTATCCTTCATCATCTATATCAGGAATGTTCTAAAAAACACCCAACAAAAATTATGGTATTGAGAAATAACTTTAAATATATGCTGTTCTTTCATCAGTCTGAATTTTATATAATTGACAAATTAAAATTTGATTATAACACCTCATGAAAGTCACTGTTATGCATTAATAATTATCTCAAGTTATGCTCTATAGTTCAGAAGTAGTGTGACAGATATCTCAGGAACACAATGCAACAAAACAATCTCCAAATTGCCTATGAAAACTGGCAAGTTTTAATGCATCTGCTTTTACTGGAATTCTATCAAAAAGGTCAGAAATCAACAGAAGCATTTTAACTTTACAAATGAGCACTAAATAAGCCTACAATACTCTTAACCTTAAATATTTTCCCAATTTCTACTTCTAATTCTTCTAGCTAAGCCACTAAGGTTCTGATGGTGAAGGAGTATAATCTTTTCTAAATACTAGTCAGTACTTTAATATGTGAATAAAAGCATCCCAGGTTATACAGGTTGCAACTTCTTCTCTCTCCCTTGAAAAGACAACAAGCCTGTACTGTTGCTTTAGCAAAGAATGTGCACATTAATTTAAAGGTGTGGGTGAAACTTAAAATCAGATTCCAAAGTTATTGTTTACACATCTCCAGCACTGTCCTGGATTTTTAAAGCTAATAAGCATCTGGGAACTTCAAACTAGTTCAGTTTTTCAGTTCTTGCAGGCAATTAAATTTTAACTGAAGAGAATTATGTATAAAATCATTTTGAATTCTTAGCTAAGCACTTAGTTTCATTAAAATGCTTTGGGACAGAAAGAAACAAGTCTCTAATATGATCATCTAAATTTAAAAAATGTGCAAAAAGTCACACTTGTGTATATTATACATAAAGGGATATACTTGGATACATAGACAATTTTCCCGTTCAAAACAGAAAAATAAAATCCCACTCATGACTTTGCATGCATAGTTAGTCTACATGAACAGCTGAGATGCTACAGTAAGTTTATTACAAAAAAACCCCAGATGTCTTCAAAATTTCTCTAGTTATAAATTTCTTATAAAAATGGCAAAGGGTAGAAGAGATACTTAATGTACCTTTGTAATGACAACCACAAATTGTGTCACATACAAGCAAAACAGTACTTTAAAATCTTATTTACAAGTTAAGTAGTAATTTCAAAATATTGTTTTCAATATTTTGAACAGTTGGACAGTTCTGCTTTCTGAAACATTAAAATTTTATTTACTAATCTACATTTTGTATCAGTAGTAGAACACACAGCCCTTCAGGTGATATACATAATCACAAATCTCATGTTAATGAAGGCATTTACATTTACTTGACTAATTCTTACTCCCTTCTTCACACTCCTACAAAGACAGAACTATATGCTATGTGGTGGATCACAGTGCATCTTTTAAGTACCAGGCACACAATACAGACAAGACCTGTTTTGCCTACCATGCTGAATAAAGGAAAACCCCACAACCTTTTGAACTTCAACACAGAGGAAGATGAGATGATCTTTGCAAATTTTGGGTTTCTGTAAGAAGTAGTTATTAATATGATTTGGGATGAAGGTCTAACCCCCTACCCAAACATGTTATTTGTAGTATTTGCAGTAAAAATAAGTTCAATGTGGATGTCACTTGAACTCTCTAGAAGTCACTGGAAAGGTGAACTTCCTCCAAAGAAGGTTTCACATTCTCAGACATTCTATCATATAATCATATGACAATAAACTCCACAGTTTTCCCTATGTTTGCAGATTCAATACAACACATTATTGATTAAGGTATTATATAGTTTTAAATACCCATAAAATCTGTAGGGTTTATAACTCTGCATTTGCATTTACAAACTTTCGGGGGGGAATAATTTTTAAAAGAAATAAAACATCAAGACATAACAATGAAGTAAAACTGCCTATACAAAAAGCATGAGGACTGAGCATTCTATTCCTAAAACTTATTTTTAGAGTTTCACTAAATATTTTGACTCAGTTTCCTTACTCTGTCCCATCTAGCATCCAAAAAGCAATGGAAGAAGCCAAATCACAGTCACATTATATCAAGACTGAAAAATTAAACAGAATGGAATACTTAAAGACAAGAAAAATGAAAAACATTTAAACTGGGACCTTCTAGAAGAGGATATAGTAGACTCCCATGATCACGTCTACATTATTTGTTTGCCCCTTGATTCTTACCCAGAGGCTCTCAACTGTGCCATTGCCAACTGTGAGCTCCATACATTCTAACCCTTCTATTACATACAGTGCCACCCCTCTGCCTCTTCTGCCCTGCCTATCCCTCCCAAAGAGCCTGTAATCGTCCAACAGGGCGCTCCACTCACAGGAGTCATCCCACCAGGTTTCACTTATGCCACTGATGTCAAATCTCTTGGACTGGGCCAAAGCTTGTTTGTTCCTCATGCTGCATGCATTAGTGTAGAAACATTTCATGTGTGGTACTTTGTAGCCAACACCTCATGAGGCAGATTGAGGGATCCCATAAGTGTTTGTTTCCTCAAGTTCTGGCACACCATCCCATTGCTCATCACTGTCAAGCCTGGTTTTGTCCCTTTCCACCTTCCAATCTAGTTTAAAGCTCTGTCAATGAGCCCTACTAGCTCCTATGCTAGAACTCTTTTTCCCCTCTGAGATAGATGCATCCTGTCATGTATCAGTAGACCAGGTGTTGAATAGATCATCCCATGGTCAAAGAACCCAAAATTTTTTCAATTACACCAACCTCAGTCATGCACTGACCTGATGGATCTTCCTGTTCCTATCAGTATTATTCCTTGTTACTGGAAGAATCAAGGCAATCACTACCTGTGCTCCTGATCCCTCTACCAATCGTCCCAGGGCCCTGAAGTCACTTTTGATTGCCCTTGGACTTCTTTGTTAATTCATCACTGTAGGGGTAGTTTGCTTTTTGGAAGAATTTGTAATGGGAAAGCTAGGAACTCAGTTTTCACTAGTAAGGCTTTCTGCCTAAATAGTATCTTCCTCAAAGGCAGTTTCAATGCTTTCTCCCCCATCCCGCATAGGAAGAAAAGTTCTCAGCCTCTCTCTCTGATATGTGAGACAAGAGAGATAGCCCTAACAGACATGTACAGAGGCCTTGGGAAGGCGGGGGAGAAACAGAGAGGATAAAAAGACCCTGAGAGGGTGGGAACTTGCCTTTTTCTCCCTGAGATCCTGTGCATAAACCGCACTGTTAGGTAATTTGCAAGTTTCTCATGTTCTGGTCTTCTAAATAAACTTTTTGAATTCTTTCCACTTCCTTGGCATTTCTGTGGATACCTACGTATCTTACTTTACAATTGCTGCCAGTCTGAACAACCAATAGCAGATAGTAATCAGAGGGCCTTACTAGACTGGAGAGTTTTCCAGTAATGTCTCTTACTGGAGCCCCTGGGAGACAGCAGACTTCCCTGTGAGTTGGGTCCAGTCTGCATATCAGGCCCTCTGTTCCTCTTAGAAGGGAGTCTCCTATTACAACTACCCTTCCTATCCTGTTAATAGAGGAGGTCTTGATGTGGTGTATAGGTGGCGTTTTAGGAGGCCCCACTATCCCAGAAGGACCTTCACCCACCTCATCAGTTGTCTGGCCTTCTAGTTCCAGAGCCTCATACATCTTGTAGAAGGTACCAGTCCTACTTGTCAAATTCTGAGAAGGAGGAGGAACCTTCCTCCTGGTACATCCAGCCTTCATCTTTAACAGACCCTTGACTAACTGTCCTTTGACTAATAACCCTGCAAGGTTCTGAGTCCATCTACTTCTCCACTACAATGGAGGTTCGAGACTCCCAAGAGTCTTGAGACTGTAGGGTCTCTGAAAATAATTGGTCTTGTTCATTCACTCGAATACTACGTAGCCTGTTCACTTCTTCCTGTAGCTACTTCACCTGGTGACACAGGTCTTCAACCACAGCATATCTTCTGCAAAATAACTGTTTGTCTGCCCCAGTCTTACGGAGAGGCATCAAGCACTCCTGGCAACCTGTGCCTGGAGAGTTGCATCTACCATCAGCAGGTCTGGCTGGCTGTAGGTCTCTGACATGGCTGACTCCTACAGCTACATGAGATTAAGCTTTACAGTGTCAACACTATAACTGAGGAAGCTTAAACTAGTATGCTAATAAGACTGGGGATGAAAGGATCTCTTTGCTCTTCCTCACCAGCTACTGAGTCTGTTTGCTGCCTCTATTGGTTGCTCTCAGATGGTCCGAGAGAAGCCCTTCCTGCTAGCCCTGCCTGCGCAAACTGACATGTCATGCCCCTGTTCGCTGTGCTCCAAGTCGCTCCTACTCCTTGGAGCCGTTTAAACCTCCCTTGGTTGCTCCTGGCACAGCCCCCTGCTCGCCTGATTGGCTGCTGAGGACTTCTGTCTCAGGGCTGGCTGCTGCATGGGTTCCTTAACTCAGGAACCCTCCTGTACAACTGTATCTCACCCTCTGGTTTTCCCTTCAGTCATGGCTGCTTGAGCCTCACCCCTACTATAGCTATAGGGAGTTGCAATCTTTGTTACATAATATTCAAGACAATATGCATGTTTATTAAAAAGAAAATGTTCAATTAAGAAAATAAAAAAGCATTAGCATATCAATTTCATTTGCAACTGTCACTTATTTGAACTTAATAAATAAAAATCTAAGACATATCAGAGATCAAACTGAGAGCAATGAAAAATAGACCATGAATAAAGTGCACTGAGATACTGCAATTAAAGCCATATTTAAAAATGTATATTTCTACACACTATTGCCAGCAATCACGCAGAATCCCATTATTATTAGAAGGGTTCTCCAAAGAGACTGTTGTAAGCAGAGGAACATGATGATGCAAAGTTGGGTCCTCTGAACCTTTTTCTTACTTGAAATTGATTAGTCAAGCAATTTAAACTATTAATTTGCAAAACAAAGAAGCAAATAATTGCAGTAAAAACACCTTGTTTAAAACTTAAGATTGTTAAGAAATATAAATGTATTACTGATGCATATTTGTATATACTGTTAAAATTTATTTTCTGAACAAAATTAACACTTCAACTATGTTATCAAAATATTAAATCCTCTGTCCTGTATATAAGTCAAGTTACATCAGATTGTAGTGCTTGACAATGTTAGCATATGCATTTGTGTTGGAAATAAGTCTACTTACAACTGAGTCTGTATCTGGACACATCCTATTAAAAAAACAAAGAAACAGAAAACAATTATGAAATGCACAAATTATTTCAGTCATACAGCTCTTGTACTTCCTTTAATATTTTCAATTAATTTGAAACATTGCACTTGCCCCATTTACCTTTCAAACTCTTAAAATTTTTGTTAACATAGAATCATAGAATGGTTTGGGTTGGAAGGGACCTTAAAGACCATCTAGTTCCAACCCCTCTGCCATGGGCAGGGACACCTTCCACTAGATTGGGTTGCTCCAAGTCCCATCCAACCTGGCATTGAACATTTCCAGGAATGGAGCATCCACAGCTTCTCTGGGCAACCTTTGCCAGGACCTCACCACCTCCACAGTAAAGAATTTCTTCCTAGTATCCAATCTAAACCTACCATCTTTCAGTTTAAATCCATTATCCCTTGTCCTGTCATTATCTGCCCATATAAAAAGTCCCTCTCCCTCCTTTTTATAAGCTCCCTTCAGGTACTGAAAGGCTGCAATTAGGTCAACCTGAAGCCTTCTCTTCTCCAGGCTTAACAATACCAATTGTCTCAGCCTTTCCTCAAAGGATAGGTGTTCCATCCCTCTGATAATCTTCACAGCCCTCCTCTGGACTTGCTCCTTCCTGTACTGGGGACTCCAGAGCTGGATGCAGTACTCTAGTTGGGGTCTCACAAGAGTGGAGTAGAGGGGCAGAATCCCCTCCCTTGACCTACTGGCCACACTGCTTTTGATGAAGCCCAGGACATGGTTGGTTTCTGAGCTGCAAGCCCACATTGCCGGCTCATGTCCAGCCTCTCATCCACCAGCACCCCCAAGTCCTTCTCAGCAGGGCTGCTATGGATCAATTCATCCCCCAGCCTGTATTGATACCTGGAGTTGCCCTGACCCATGCGCAGGACCTTGCTCTTGGCTTGTTAAATCTCATGAGGTTCCCACATTCAACTGAATGGCATTTAAATAAAAGAAGTTGAAAGTTTATGCTAAAAACATTGCAGAAGAAAAATTCTTAGTAAATGCTGAAAACCACAAATCACATCATAGTGAAAAAAAAATAATCAAGGGAAGTTGATAGTATCACACTTCATTTTGGATTAATATACTTTAAGACTCAGGTTTCTATGGATGATGTGCATAATAAATAAAAGTCACCTATCCTAATGAAATAGTCCACACCCAATTGCAAAACATTTTGGACAATAACCAGTTCTTAAAGCAATTAAGACTATTCTTAAAGGGATTCAGAGCTTCTCTCTTCTGGAATTTCATTCTTAGATTGAGTTTGTCAAGCCCATTTGCAGTCAAGCACCAGAAGATGCTGGAAAAAAAAAAATAGAATATCCTCTTTGGAAACACTTAAAAAAAATTGTCAACAGAAAGACAGTGATTGCAAACACATTATTCTCAAGTGTTATATTTTTCTGCTATAATTTCAATTTAAACAATAATATTTTTAAAATTTAATGAAACAATCTCTCTCACTGATATATGCAAAAAGTAGAAGTAATTACATTTATAGTATGTCAAAATACTTGAGTAGAATACAGGTCCTCTCTAATCTGCATCCTGATAAATAAAACCATAAGTGACAGTGTAACTGAATGACAGTGTTTTTATACAGTCAAATTGAACATCTTAAATGTGTACTTATTAAAAAAAAAGAAAAAGAAAAAATCAAATTTGTGGCTGTCATCTTTCCTGAAAGGTTAAATGGATTAAATGTAAAAACTACAGTGTCTTTTAAAACATATATGAAAATTTGCTAACATGGAAGCATTAATATGGAATTCAGTACTGGTTGTTAAGAAATTGACAGCGAGATGAAGGATCTCGTCTCCTCTTGTATTGGGTCTGGTTGAGTTGGAGTTTATTTCCCCACAGTAGCCCTCACAGTGTTGTGCTTTGCATTGGCAGCTAGAAGGGTGTTGAGAACACACTGATGTTTTGGTTACCGCTGAGCACAGCACCAACACTGTAACATTCCTTCCTTAGTTGAGGGCAAGATCCTGGGAGGGGACCCAAGTAGGTCAGCTGACCCAAACTAACCAAAGGGATATTCCGTACCATATGACGTCAGCTCAGATATAAAAAGCTGAGGGAAGGAGCAGGAAGGCAGGCATTCATTGTCTCCAATGGCTACCTGCTGAGAAACCGTCATGCATACCCAAGCCCTGCTTCTCGGGAGTGGCCGACCATCGCTACTCATGGGAAGTAGAGAATAAACCCTGTTGTCTTTCGTTTCTGCGCACACAAGTTTCACTTTATTTTTTACTTTAAATAAACTACCTTATCCCAACCCACGAGTTGTTTTTTTCCACCTTATTCTCTCCCCTGTCCCGCTGAGAAGGAGAGTGATAGAGCAGGCACCTGATGTCCAGCCAAGGTCAACCCACCACACCTCTGAAAGGTCCCACACAAAAGGGAACAAGTTTGACCAAGTTTCTAATTGACTTACATCTTATCTCCCTCTGCTGGTGTCCTGGTTTCAGTTACCCTTCCCCCCTATCTCAGGTTCGTGGGGACCCTGAGTTAAAGCTGATTGGTCCAGGGACAGTCTTCCCTCAGGAAGCAATCAGCGTTGGTTTTGTTTGCTCCTGTGAAAATTAGATATACACAGCTTGCTGGAAGTGAGTTGGCAGAGTTGGCAGTCAGTCTGCTGTTGTGTCTGAGTGCGTGTGTGAGAGGGCCTAGGGGTGGCAGGGCCCCCTTTCCCCCCTGGGAAGAGGGACCCTGGGTCCCACAGCTCTGGCCAAGTTAGGGTTGAAGGCAGCATGTAGGAGTGAGTGCGTATTGTGAGGGAAGAGACTCACAACAACTGAGGTAAGAGGGAGAGAGGCAGACCTTCAACCAAGCCCTCTTCTCCCCCCCCCCAGACAGACAGTAGAACTTGGGACAGCTCATAACTGGACCGAGCTGCCTGTAGCTAACTAGGGGGCTTTCTTTCCCCCACTGTAGGTGGGGGGTGGATTTTAAGGTTCAGTCTTTTAAGCTGAGCCAAGGAGACGGGCTCAAATGAAAGCTCGGTGCCAGGAGAAGAAAAAACTCCAGGGGAAATTGGAGATGGACCAAGAAGGCTCAAAGGTGCTCTGCATCGGCTTTTGGACATAGACTGCTGAAATTGAGAGCTGCAGCAGCTAGAGAAGAGTGAGAGAACCAACTAGCAGCAAGCGAGTTCCAGGTAAAGACTCAGAACAGCATCTTACCCTGGGAGGAAACCTCCGCAAACCAAGGAGGAAGGACAGAGTTATCTTCTTGGACTTCGTGAGGAAGACAAGACTTCAGCAAAAAGCTGGAGGTTGGTGGGGGGTGATCAGAGAAATCCTTCTCCCTGATACCCCAACGAGAGAAAGACTGTTTACCTATCAGCCTGAGAGCTTCTCCTGAACTGATTGTGGGAGGGGCTCGGAGGGATGATAGAAGTGTGTTAATATTGTATATATATAGTTGCTTTTAGTTTGTACAGAATTTATTTGTATAGGAATAAATGTATATATTTTCCCTTCCCCCATACAGAGGTGTGCCTGCCTGAAAATTTTTCTTCGGTGTTGAGGTAAATTGTGGGAAGGTGGGGGAAGCTTGGAGATTGGATTTTTGTGGGGGCAAAACCCCCACAGCTGGCTAAGCTGAATTCACAGTAATAGAAACAACTATTTTAAAAGTTATTTTACAGAATAAAGAGACAACATATTAGATTTCTCTCAAAAGGTTTATGTCATGGTTTGAGATAGCCCCAAAATCTAATTCTCTAGTTCCATCCCCCCTCCCACATCTCAACCTAATGTGAGATGGGTTTTTCCAGACAAAACACAACCAGACTCAGAATGGGGGAAAGGGAATATATTACAATGACTGTACAAATAAATACTATAACACATTATACACACGATCACAACTATCTCTACCATGACATATAGTATTTACAATGGATCAGATCTCTTCTCCCCTCCAAATAAAAGTCCAGGAGGGAAAGAAGGACATATCCCTTCCAGTCTCTCAGGGCGGCAGCTTCTTCTAAGGCAGCAGGTTCTCCTCATCTCATGCATGCAGCAGCTGATAGTTGGATCTCTGCCAGCACTCACGAGGGGGGTATCCCCCTCGGCCCCTTGACGCAGGCAAAGGGGTCTTCCGTGGGCTTCGTAACCCCAGACAAGGCCGTTTCACCACGTCATATCACGAAGACGCAGGGGGTCTTTGTGACAGTCTGGTATCTCCAGGAGATTGAAGCTCCTTGCAGGGCCTCTGTGCCCTGTCTCAGGCTGCGAGCTTCTTTTTAACTTGCAGCAAGGGAGGGCCCCCAAGGCCAACCTCCCACACCGTCCTGGCTCAGTTCTCAGGACGACTGAGCTTCTCAGCTCCTCTCTGCAAGTGCTGTAGCACTCCAAGGCTCCTCTCCTTAGTAGGAGTCCATGTCCCTCCTTTCCTGGAGGTCTCAAAGGAGTTTTGGGGGCTCTGATATCAGTTCTTACCCCCAGAACTCCGTAGTTCTGCTGCTAGCTTCTGCTGCTTCCTCCAGTTCAGTTCTTATCTGTCCTGGTTCTTGTCCAGAGTCTCTGGACACTGCTACCGCTTCTGCTCTGTCTCTGCTCACTCGAGATGGAAAACATCTCCGAGCTCACAGCTACAGACACATAGTCCAGCTTAACACTGTTCCAAGTCTCTGTAGCCCCCAGCTGGGGCTGGGGGGCCTCAGAGGCCCCAAGGGGTTCCGGGCCCCTCTCCTCGTGGCTCTACAACATGGCCACCTCTTCAACCAACCAAACTACAACCCTTCTCTTCCGGTCAGCTTGTGATATGTTTACATTTCTGCAGGAGTGCTCATTGGACAGAACTTCAAAACTTCCAGGGGTTTCCACCCCTGGGGGTTACCACTTTTCTTAGCCTCTGGGGGAAAACAAGGTTCAAACCACTACAAACAGATGTTATGATATCTGCTTTTAAAAAGCATCTGTACTCAAACAAGATGGCCTGAAGTCCATAAAAGGTTAGAAATATGAAAGATGAGAGGCAAAC